GGCTGTGCTGTGTGCTGTAAGAAGGAAGCAGGGGGCCGAGGATTTAGCTCAGTGGTTTCGCCGCCTGCTGCGCAAGTGCAAGGACCCAAGTTCAATCCTCGGTACCAAAAAAATTTAAAAAAAAGAAAAAGAAAGAAGGAAGCAGGAGTGCCTGCTGATTGCCTATGGAGGCAGGATGTCTCTGTGATGGCCGTTTTGATATCCGCACCGCCCAGCTCTGATGACTGCTGGTCCTCATCCTTCCTTTGGGCTGTAGGCAGGGTACAGTCCTGGGGCCCTGGGGAGTTTTCACTCTCCTCCCGACTCCACTCATCCTTTCATCCACCCGTGGCCAAAATGGTGACAGTCCCCATCCTGGTTCTGCTGATGACTTGCCTTGGTCTCTGCCCTGCTTGTGGCCACCCACAGAGTCCCTGTGGGGCTAGCTTTGTGCTGGGGGACAACAGCAAACCATGAGGAGGCAGCGTGGCAGAGAAGTAAGCTTGGTTTGGGGCCAGAGACCTAATGGAGATATTGTGAGATATGTTTTATCTTCCTCTCTTTTTCTGCCATTGAGCTCTTAAAAATCCTTAAATCTTCCAAATCTTCTTTATCTTTTGTATGCTAATGAGCTGGCAGCCCTTGGGTGGCTTCAGAGTAGGAGCTGCCTGTGGGGAAGGCCAATGCAGGATTAGAGTTGGCACTTTCAGTCCCGCCTCCGGCCTCCAGGGAGGGGAGAGGGGCTGAAGATGAAGTCGATTGCCCTGGGACAGGGATTTAACTGATCATGCAGATGTAAGGGAGCCTCCATAAAACCCCCAAAGAACAAGTCTGGATAGCTTCTGGGTAGTGGAACACTAGGAGACACCATGTCCCTTCCCACACATCCCTTCCCACACGCCCCACCTTGGGCATTGTGTCATCCCTGTGCTTTGTGAAGTCCTTAATGATAAACAGGTGAATGTTGATATTTCTCTGAGTTCTGTGAGCTGCTCTAGCAAATTAGTCAAAGCCAAGGAGGGGTGAGGGAACCCTGATTTATACTTAGTTGGTCAGAAGCCCAGGTCAGACAACCCAGGGCTGTGATGGGTATTTGAAGCAGTAGAAGCCATCTTGGGGGCTGAGCCCTCCACTTCTGGGATCTGACGCTACTCGGGTAGATAGTGCAGAGATGAATTGAATTGCAGGATGCCTAGCTGGTGTCTTCTGCAGAACTGATTGCTTGTTTGTGATGACCCCTCTTACCCCAGTTTGTCCATAGGGGTGGTCTGTGTGTTATGAGAGTGTAGTGGGGAAAACTGAGTTTGGATTTTTCCTCAATATGCTTAGACCTGTTTTCCAATCTGGCCGTCAAAACCTAACATGCTACTTAGGCACAGTGGCGCATACCTGTAAACCCAGCACTGAGAAGGATGAAGTAAGAGGATTGCCGTAAATTTGAGGCCAGCCTGGGTTGCATAGTGAGACCTTGTCTCAAAAAATAAAAAGTTGGGCCAGGGATGTAGCTCAGTGGTTTCACCGCCTGCTGCGCAAGCGCAAGGACTCGAGTTGGATCCCCGGTACCATAAATAAATAAATAAATACCAAGCCAAAACACTCTACTGTGCTGTGTGAGAAATTGCAGCATGTCTTTTTTTGTTGTTCTTTTGTTTAGCTTTGTTTTTTGAGACAGGGCCTCGCCAAATAGCTCAGGTTGGCATTGAACTGACTATGTAGCCTTGAACTTGAGACTGTCCTCCTGCCTCAGCTGCCCAAGTGCTGAGACTACAGATGTGCGCCACCGAGCCGGGCTGCCTCAGGTCTTAGAGCATGAAAGTTCAACCCTTTGTCTATTGTGAGCCGCACTAAGCAGGGAGGAATTGTCTTAGATTCCCTATAAAATATATAATGTACCTAAGTAGCAAAACTCCCTTTTTTATATTTTATTTATTATTTTATGAAATAACACAAGAAGCCCAAATGTAATAATTAAATGAGGAAACTCATATGTCACAGTAAAGCCTGTCTTCACAGGCATGCACGTGTAGGTAGGTTGAACTATTATTGGTAATTGGTGTGTTTTATTCACCAAGTTGCAGAAGCCTGTGTAACATCTGATACATGTGGGTTTTGATTGTGACAGGTGTGAGAGGCAGAGTTAGTACGTTGCCGTCCCTACACAGCCTTCCACTGTCACTTGTGCAGTCCTTGCTCAAGCCCAGTGCAACTGGGTCATGAAAAATATCACTACAAATCACATAATGATGTTAAAAATTACTATCTTGTGGGGCCAGATTTCTAGGTGTCCAGGGCCATATGCAGCCTGTGAGTGAAGGATTGGACACATCTGTCTTAGAGCTTTGATTCCTTCCTTTTTTTTTTTTTTTTGAGACAGGATCCCATTCTGTAGTTCAGGCTGGCCTCAAATTCATGGCAATCCTCCTGCCTCAGTCTCCCGAGTGCAGGGATTATAAGTGTGTGCCACCATGGCTGGTCCCTTGATTACTTCATATGCAAAACAGAAATGATAATCACAAACACTAATGCATTTAGCAAGGATATAAATGCCATCCATCAAGCCAGGTGTGGTGGTGCACACCTGTAATCCAAGCACTGAGGAGGCTGAAGCAGGAGAATGGCTGAGTTTGAGGTCAGCCTGGGCTATATAGTGAGTTCAAAACCAGCCTGAACTATATAGTGAGATCCAAAGGAAAAAAGAGGGCAGAGAGAGAGAGAGAGAGAGAGAGAGAGAGAGAGAGAGAGAGCGCGCCAGGGAGAGAAAATCTGTAAAGGCTCACAGTACCTAAAACTTAGTAGGAAGCAATAGCTAGTATCTTTTAGCTGTTGGCCATAATGGGTCCCAGAAGTTCACTTCTATGTTCCTGTTTCTTCCTATAGAATTACCTAATCCTTACTTGACCTTGGGGCAAGTGCTAAAATTAGTAGAGATGGGGGAAAGTGGAGCATTAACTTATTGAGGGTGGCAGGAGGGGAGAGATCAAGGAAGGCTTCTCAGAAGAGGAAGGCATCTGAGCTATTCTTAAAGGAGTGGCAAGGATTAGCATCGCCAGCCAAGTGGTGCCAGAATAGAAGAGGAGGTGTGTGGGGTCAGAGGGGCACGGTGATGGGGATGACGGGTGTGTGGTGGAGAGGTGGCACCCAGGAACTGAGGCCAGAGTGCAGGGTTGGCAGGGCTGGGCCTACAGCCTGTGGCTTGACGATGGGCTTGGGCACTGGGGAGCCACAGATGACAGTTGCTAGGAAAGAGAAGACTGGGGCCGTGGATTTGGCTCAGTGGTTCCGTCACCTGCCTCGTAAGTGCAAGGTCCCAAGTTTGATCCCCGGTACCAAAAAAAAAGGAAGGAGAAGACTCTGGGGAGCTGAGGGCCTGGCCCCGGGATGGGTTTTATGGCCAGGAGGTGAGTGTGGATAGCTCCCCAGGGCCTTGCTGCCCACAGGTCCCAGTGGGCCCCTGGACTCCTGAGGCTGGGTTGGGCAACTTGGGGGTCCCACTTGGTGGCCCTGCCATCCGCAGCCCAGGACTGGTCCCCAGCTTCCACATTTGAGGCAAAACCATTGCCCCATTCAGCCTTAGTTATTAAGTCATGAACTGGCCCTCACCCATCCTCTCCTTATGGTAAGCAGGGCAAACCCACTCGGCATTGACAAGCAGGAGGCCAGCTTCTTGTGGATTTTGGGCTGCCAGGACACTGGCTGACTCTGATCCTGCAGTCCAGAAAAGTGCTGAGCATCCCATCCAGGCTGGGTTTTGAGAGGCAGTGACATTCTGTCTCTCTGCACCTTGGGTGCCCCCAGCCACCAGACCAGACCCTCAGACAATGCTTGGAGATCTGCTTTCTTCCATTTCCCTGTTGTGTGACTCTGAGTACATGGCTTAGCTTCCCATGCCTCAGTTTCCTTGTCTGTCAAATGGGATAACAGGACCAGCCTCACTGAGCTATCTATGTGACATTAAACAAGAAATTTAATGCCCAGCAGTGTAAACGCTATCGTTTTCAATGCTGTTGTCACCATCATCAGGAAAAGCTCAGTCCCCCAAGGGCCGCTGTGGGGCCTGTTTTTACCTCCTTCCTCCCTGCCCCTTCACAGTGCAGATGTGGGGGAGGGGGCTGGGGCCTGTCCTCCTGTCCTCAGAGATAAGCCAAGGTGGGGCCCATGGGGCCTGGGGTTGCAGGGTGAACTCAGGGGACCTGGTTATAGGAGGTGGGAGGGGTCCAGGATCCTGCTGGGCTCCCAGGCAGCCATGGCTCTGTCTGTTGGCAGCTATGGTGCTTCTAGATTGGCAGTTGACCCCCTTGCCAGGCAGGGTCCTAATGGGAGAGCAGAACTAGCCAGGTTTGGGAGCAGGCATGGCCTCAAGGACTCCCCTTGCCTAAGAAAGCAGGTCTGGAGCCCTGCCCGCTTCCCTCTGCACCCCGGGCTCCTACTTGTGCAAACTGGCAATGCTGGTTAGAAGCTGGAGTGAGTTTGTGTGTGCACATATATGTGTGTGTACACATGTGTGTGCATGCATGTGCTTATGCACAGGTGCAGGGGAGCCCTGTGAGTGTTGCTGTGGGCTTCCCCTGTCCTCTCCCCAGCCCAAGGGTCACCCTGTAGCTTTCAGTGGCTACCCACAGCTCTCTGGGCTGAAGGCTTTGTGGTCTCTTTGAGGGCAGGGTCATGCCCATTGCTCCCAGTCTAGGATCTGATCCAGGGTTAGGCCACACAGGTGGCATGATGGAAGGTGTGACTGCTTGTGCCCCCCTAGTGAGCACAGGGGAGCCCTGCTCATCTCGGTACCTCAGGCCACTGCAGTGGCTGAGGGCTGGGACCCTGTCGCCTGCCCTAGAGAGGGTGGGAGGGAAGCCTGGCCTTTACGGTTTGCAGTGGCCGGGCTGGCCTGGGCAGGGTGGAGGCTGTGCACAGCAGAGTTCTGCAGATGGGGCTGGGCTGGAACTGGGGCCACCTAGGTGGAGTGTGGTGATGTTGCACCCAGGGGTCAGAGATCCCCAGTAAGCACCCTCTATCTCCCCCTCCAGGCGTCCTTCTGGACATCCAGCAGCACTTTGGGGTCAAGGACCGAGGTGCCGGCTTGCTGCAGTCAGGTGAGGCTCACCACCCCCCTTTGCCGCTTGCCCAGGTGCTGGTTCCTTAGGTCCTCCTGTTGTCCATCCTTCTCCCCAGTTCTCTCTTCCCCGGTCCTCACTCCTGGAATGAGGAAGGGCTTTGCATCCAGGTCCCACCATTACTACCCACAAGTAGGACTTTTCTGAGCCTCTACTTGTAAAATGAAACCCATACCAGCTGCCCTGAGGGGCTACGGGAGACAAACAGGGGTGCAGGCAAAGGGTCCTGGGGCCTCATGGAGACCCAGTGATCTGGGTCCCTTCTCGAGGCTGGTGAAGGGAACTCCTTCCCTGAGTAAGTTGGACAATGCCAACAGAGCCTCAGTGACCCTGTTTCCATCTCACACCCCACCCTCTACTCCTTCCATTGCTACCAGTCCTGGGAATCACCTCTTAGATGACACAGAGAGGCCCTGAGAACCTGGGTCCTGGGCTAGACTCAGGCTCTCTTTTCCCTGAGCCTCACTGGGCTGCAGTGAGCTGAGCAGGGGCTGTGTGGAAGGCCACTGAGCAGTTACCCCGGCTTGTCAGCCCCTCCCTCTGCAGAGAGGCCCTGTCCCCCTTGTCCCTGCCCTACCCCCTCTATGGCCCCAAAGGCCAGGTGCTGCTGGCTCCCTGGCCTTCCCACTGGCTGTTGCCATGCTGGCTGTGCTCAGCAGGCTCTCTCAGGCCTGGGTGGAGCCTCCGTCCAGTGCCATATGCCAGGGCTGGGGGCAGGAAGTCTGGTCCTGTCTCGGCCCCAGCCTTGCTATTTGACCCCAGCCTAATGCCTGCCTGTCTGTGAGCTCTTGGCCCTGGAATCCCTCTGGCTGTGAGGTGCCCTTCAGTGTGGAGAGAAGGGCCATGATCTGCATCCCAATCTGTGGACCCCTTTCCCTTCCCTGGCCTGGCCTGGGAGTGTGGGGGTGGAGCGAGCTGCTCTGTCTAGGAACTTGCCTGACCTGTTTAGGTGGCATTCCGGTGTGCACAATGCCTCCTTGAGCTCAGAGAATGCCAGACCCACTCAGGCTGGCCACTTGCCTTTAGATCCCTGGTGGGGTCTTTTTGGCTCAGAGAGAGGGAATGTGATGTTTCCAGGGCACAGTCCAAATAAGTAAGACTTACTAGGGTAGGGCAAGGATGTATGGTCCAGTGGCCCCCATGGGTGGCCAGGCCTTGCCCTGTAGATATCACCTCCTGCCAGACCCTGAGTCCAAACACCCAGCCAGCAGCTCCCAGGCATTTCCTGGGCCTCCTTGACCGAGTTAGAATAAGTCAGCCTGCCCTGGGTCACCCCGGGCTCTGAACACTCAGTGACTAGAACTCACTGAGAAGATGGGGTCTATACTAGATGGGAATGTGGGAGGCAGTGGGCTGCCAAGTTCGTGAGGGAAGAGCAGGGGAGAGCCCGGCCCTCCAGCCCCCCCACCCCCCACCACGTGTGGCCCCTGAGTCACTGAGCCCTGTCTCCTCTGGTCCAGGCCTTGCTGTCTGTGTACCCTGAGCCTCCTCCATTCAACACTCCCAGCATGTGGTCAAGGCCACATAGTCTCCAGGCAGAGGATGGGGCATCAGTCCCAGGGCAGGTGTGAGGGTCAGCACCCCATCCCTTCTGCAGTTACGTTCCAGGCTGGCTTCTCAGCTTTCTCGAGAGAAGTCAGTCTTCACCTATCCTGGATGAGCTGGCTAGAAGTGGATAGTTCACTCACAGGCGTCATCCTGTTTGATTCTTTCAGTAATTCTACAGGCTCCCTTTTCGAGCTTCACTGGCCAGAGGAAAGAGAGAGGTTCAGAGAGGGAAGCAGCTTACTTAAGGCCTCATGGTAAAAGAGCATCAGCTGGAGATAGGGATCCGGAAGAGGCCTCTGCTGGAGGGATGGTGGGGGTTGAGTGGAATCTCAGCATCCCCAGGGGGATGCCTCTGGGACATGGTGAGAATACCCAGAATTTGCAGTCCCTAGCCCATGGTGTTTACCCTACCACCTACCTCTGGCATGGCTGGCACCTCTGTCCCCAGCATCCTTACCCCTTCAGTCATCTGAGCCAAGAAGCCAGTTGAGCCAGACCAGGATGTGACTCAGTGGGCAACTAGGCAAGTCACCTAATTGTCCTGGGCCCCAGGCACCCGTCTCTTCCCTAGCCCTGATAAGGCCGGAGCCAGATGGAGGGCGCCAGCTTGGTGTCAGTGCTTGCCCAGATCAAAGGGTCGAGGTGGGAGCAGGCTGCCTGCTTATTTGTTGGCACCAGGGGCTTCTGGGCCAGGAGACAGGGTAGGGGGTGCCTGAGGGTCAAGCCTGGGCCTGCCTTGCTCTTTCCTTGGGAGCAGAGCATGACTGGCTTGGGAAAGGCCCATTTCAGCATCCCCCCGGCACATCGCTGCCAGCTCAGCCCTGGCCCCTGATTTGCCTGCAGGAGCCACAGCTCAGCCTTTGTGACTGCATGGCAAGATTACAGCTCATGCCTTTGGCCATATTGGGAACCTCCACAGCTCACATCAAAAGGGGTAGCTGCTACTGAACCTGTGTTCAGCCAGCCGTGTGCTAGACTCAGTCTCTGTCATCAGATAGAGTCCTTCTATCTATAGGAACAAAGAATGGATCATCCAGTCACCACTCAGGCATTGCAAGGGGAGGACTGTGGGAACCTGGGTGGGTGGATCATAGAGGATATGTGCTTAGCTATGACTTGAGACAGGTGAAGACTTCCCTGAAGAGGGGAGATTTGAATGGGGTTTTGAAGGACGAGTTAGATTTTGTTAAGGGGAGAGGACTTCTGGTCAGTTTTTCAGATTCAGTTAGATATGAGGAAACCCTTTGCCCTGCTCCCAAGCTAAAAAAATATGTGAAGAAAACATGTTTAAATTACATAACTGAGCTTGAAAGCTAAAGCTAATAGGGAAATTCCCAGGTGTCAGAAACAAAGAGCCGAAGTCAAAAACTGGAATGGGAGCTGGAATCAAAGCCAGAAGATTTATGGATGAAATCTGTGTCTTAGAAACTTATTACAGTACTTTTAATGTAAGCATTTTTTCATGAAAAAGTTTAAAGATTCATAAAAATAGAGAGGGCAGCACAACGTAGCTCCATGTGTTCATCACCCAGATTCATCAAAGTTTCTTCAGTCTGGCCCACATTCCAGGCTCAGGGCCTCTTCACTCTGAGGACTGGGCAGAGCCAGTTGGGGTCCCGGGGTCATGTGATTTAGTCTCTCCCCAGAGTCCAGGCGAGTTCTCTGGTCCTAATCGGTGGCCAGGCTGGCGGTGGCTTTGTGGAGCTCCATTGCATGGGCGGATGTCTCCTCTGTGAACCTGGCCTTATTCAGAGAGCTTGGTCCTGGTCCCTGCTCCTCCCAGGCCCAGGCCCAGGTCTTCACTCCTTTCCCCATGGAAGCTGGGGATTTCAAGGCACCGAGGCAGAAGGAAATCCCAAGCTACTCCTTGGGAAGCCTCATGACCCAGAGCCTGCATGGGATACAGGTGACAGTTCTCTCTGAAGACAAACTCAAATTCAAAATTAGCAGAGCAATAGGAAACTCATCTTTGTGAGAGGGCATCAGCTGCCCACCCCCCCACAGGCTGAAGAGCCATGGAGTATAGACTCATTTTAAAGGAACTTTCAAATTCAGAATGGTTAATTTGCAAAGCTCAAAGGAAAGAGTAGGGTTCTTAAGACAAGAGTAGTGCATTATGAAAAGAACGGAGATGTTGAAAAGACCCAAACTCAAAAATTCTAGCAATGAAAAATGAAACTATGAAAATAAAATTATAATAATTAGATCCAGTTGAACAGAAAGTAGGCAAATTAGAAGACAGATCTGAGGGAATCCATGAATGCAGCACAGGGGATGAGAGAACGCTGGTTGTGTGACACTGGCATGGGCTGGAGTGGGGAGGATGGAGGGCGAGGAGGTGACCATGGGCAGGTCTGACTTCAGAAGGCTTGAAGGCTGGGTTAAGGCCTCTCAGGGAAGGTTTTAGAGCAGGACAAGTCCACGTAAGATGTGTGTGCCTCCATGTACACTCTGGAGCCAAGTGCAGGACGAATGGCAGGGGAGACTAGAGGCTCCTCAGGGGTGGAGTTTGTGGGGCCATGAGGAAGTGCTAGGATTAGAGCGTGGGAGTGGTGTAGAGTGGGGATGGAGGAAGAGCCAGCTCAGACTGAAACCAGACAGTGCCTCTGCTTTGGGGCTGGCTTTCTGGTCTTCCCTCTCCCCTTGGCCAGCTTAGTGACACCCTTAGTTTGGGCAGACTTGGGTTCCCCTGTGGCCAACCTCCAAGGATCCTGCTCAAAAGGAGGCCTATGAACCTTATTCCTCCTGAGCTGGAGGGGCCAGCACAGGGCTACAGCCGAGTAGGGTGTAAAGGGAGGCTGTCCCCACTCTACATGCAGCAGTCTGAGCATGTTGGGCTTCCAGGCAGCAACAGGGCCCTCTGTTCTGGGTCCTTCCCATCAGCTGGAGCAGCCTGCACTGTCCCTTGGCTGGTAGAGCCTGGCCCCTGCCCACCTCATGCCTGCCTGAGCATCCTCCCTGCCCACAGGATGTGGACAGTGACGAGTCTTCCCTAAATAACAGGTCAGCTGAAGGGTGGACTACGTAAAAATAGCCTCAGCCTGAGCTGAGCCAGGGGCTGAATGCAAGCTCCAGGGCCACAGCATGGAGCCTAGGGCTCCCCTTGCTCCGACCTTGTCTTTCCTGCTCCAGGACCACCTTCTGGGATCAGACAGGCCATGTGTGTATGAGGGTGGCAGGATAGGGTCCTGGGGCTGCCTACCAGGACACAGAGGCCCTGGTAGGGTTGCTTGGGGCTTCTGGGTGCTGCCAGTACCTTGAGCTCTGGGATGGCTACAAGGGCCAGACAGCACCTCAGGTGTATCCTCCAGCCCCCTGTCCTTCTGTTAGCCTTGAGCCAGCCCTTCAACGGGGAGGCTTGGTGCCCAGGTTTTGGCCACAGCTGGGCTATTCCAACTCCGCCTACCTTGTCTGTGCCCCATCCCCTCTGCCCCACCCCGCCACCTCCCCTGGAGCCTGGCTCCCCACAGCTCCATTGTCCCAGACCTGTGGGCTCAGCACACGTGAGGCGAGAGAGGGCTTCCCCACACCCCAGCCACAGGATGTCCTTGTGCATTGGAGAACTTCTGGGAAAGCCACCCCTACCAAAATCAGGGTGGGGCAGCCAGTTTGGAAGAAAGCTGTCGTCAAAGAACAAAGACCACAGGGTTGGGGTGGTGGACAGGGGAAGCTTCCGGCTTGGGCTGGTCTTCATTGTCTGTGGAGCTGATGCTGTCTGGATGAGCCTCTGTGTCCCCATCAGACTTGGTCACACATGCTGGCCTTTGCCTAGGCTGCTCCTCCCAGGATCATCCTTCCTCCTCTTTCTGCCCAGTGTCCAGGCCCCTTTGCTGGCTTGTGAGAGATCCTTGAGGGACCAGAGGGGTCCTCCCTGCTGCCTGCCCTGAGCAGGGGCTGGGGGTTGGGACTTCAAAGATGGATCCTGTCTCCCCCACAACCCTGGATTCCTTTGTCCCCAAGGGGAAGGCATGGAGGGTCACACAGGGGTCCAGGTCCCTGCCTGACTTGCTGTGTCACCTGGGGCAAATTCCTCTGCCTCAGGCCTCAATCTCCCCAGTTATGAAATGGGTACAGAGTTGGGGGCTCAGGTGAGCTCAGGGCACGTTGGTGCCTGGCGGCCTGGGTCACACTGGGACTGGCAGGGGATGCACAGGTAGAGAACCAGGAGAGCTGGGGTGGGAGCGGGGCCACTCTTCTGCTGCAGAGGGCGGGGATGGAGCTGGACATTGGTCTGCCCGTGGCCTGGCTCACTTGTCCTCAGTCCTAGGGTGCTTTTCCAGTGCTCTCCTAGAAACCACACCTGGGCCTGATCTTAGGGCCTAGTTTCCCTTCGTGGCCTCATTTCCCTCTGCTTCGTCCATGGCCTTCTCACGCTGCGGCCTGACCCTTCTCCTTGCTGTCCCCACCACACCCTGAACTTTCTCTGACCTTGGAAACATCAGCTGGGAGATTTTGCCTCCCAGCCCAGCAGCCTATGGTGTGATTTAGAGCAAGGACTCTGGGCTCAGACAATCAGTGTTTAAATTCTGGCTCAGCTCCACATTCACTGTGTCATGTCACTTCACTCGGCCACTACTGTCCCCTCTGTAAGATGAAGATAGTAGTAAGAATCATTATTAAGAGAGATTTAGTGCATGTGTCAAGCGTGCCTTCCTGGGCCTTGCCATTAGTAAGCACTCTATGAATGATAATTGCAACTATAAGCATTGTGCATATAGTGTATAACCATTATATAATACCCTTTATAAGATTTGGGATTTCTATTTTACTATTAATTTTAAGTAGTATTATCACCATGGTAAACTCCTATGCATGCTTCCACGCCCAGCTTTGACATCACCATCTCCACGAAGCCCTTCTTCGCTATCCAGCAGGTTTTGGTTCTCCTTGCTTGTTCCCCGACACCTTAGCCTTTTCAACTGGACAACCCATGGATGTCTCTGTCCCCCGACAGACAGGGACACAGAAAGCCACTCATCCTCTTCCCCTAACATGTGTAAGTTCTGATGTGACTGAACTCTCCTTCCTGCCCACATCCTTATCTGATCTCAGGCAGGCCCTGGGAGGCAGGTCCAGCAGGAAAACATTCTTTTCATTGATGTGAGGAAATAGTATCTACCTTGGCTCATGTAAACAAGGGCACAGCCTTAAGTGGGGCTGCAGCCTGGGCAGGGTGTAGTGCGAAGCACCTTCCCCGCATTAGCTCATCCAGGATTGGAGCGGCCCAGGGGAGTTGCTATTTTTATCTTCATGTTACAGATGAGGAAGTTGGTGGAGCGGCCTGATCCCAGCTCAGCAGAGTGAATTGTTAAATTTTCAGGAATTGTGTGAGCTGCTTGTTAGATGGAACCATTGTTAAACATGAAATTACATAAATTTACAATTAAATAATTCATATTTTAAAAGGTAATACAGACTCAAAAGTTACCACTTCCTAATTATTTTACTATGCTTAGCTATTATCTATGTTCCTAAGGTTGATCAGAGTTTTTTGTCTGAACAGTAGACTCCCCAGCTCCCCTCAGTGACATCGTACTGGTGCTGGCTTGACATCAACCACAACAGGAGAGTTTGCACCATGAAGATCAGCAAATGCTCCATGCAGGGCTCCTCCTCTGCTGGCTTTTCAGAGGACCAATTGTTGCACATTTACCAGCACACCACTGAAGCTGGTACACAGAAAGGCTGTGACCTGGCCATGGTTCCTCACCTAGGGAGGCACAGAGGTAGATTTGTGCCCAGGCAGCGTATCACTGGTGCCCTACTTCTATGCTGACTCTGCCCAGGTTCCCAGATCACACACAATTAGGTTAGCAGGTCCCCCACCCAGGCAGCCACCTCACTGTCCTGCTGTGGCCTGCATGGAGAAGGACAATCACACCCTCACTGTCTAGTCCAGGGGACCCGTGCTCGAGCCCTCTGTCCCTCCCTGCGTCCCTGGCTCTTCTCTTCTCCCAGGCTCATCTCACCCAGGAACTCAGGTCCACAGGGGAGCAGTTAAACCCATGCTCACACCTAGCCTGGTGGTCAGAGGCCAGACAACTGTCTGCCTACCCCTGGCCTTTGTCTGGCCATCTACCTGTCAGCTGAGGGACTGGCTTCCGGGGGAGCAGGGAGCTGCCTTGCTATGTGACCCAGGATCTGCCCTGCCTTGTTCTAGGCCTCCTCATCCACCTGGGACCTCTGAGGCCCCTCCCATCACAGACAGGGGGCTCTCCATGACGTCTTCTAAGAATATCGCTTTTCTGTTTCAGAAGAACAAAACCAGGTCATGTCCCTCCTTTCATTAACATCCTTTAGTGTTTTTCTTCTTTATCCATGGAAGCCACACTAGACATGGTGGGCCACAAAATCCTACCCCATCTGGCCTCTCATCCTTGCCTCCTACCCCTTTACCTCTCCATCCCTTTGCTCCAGTCACTGTGGCTTCTTTGGTCTCCCGAAACATGCTAAGTATGCTCCTGCCCTCAGGACCTTTGCATTTGGTATTCTTGTCTTAATATTTGCATGATATTTTCTTTTACTTCTCCCTAGTCTTTGTAAAATGTCACCTTCTCTGGCCCTCCTATGTGAAAATACAACATCTGCTCTGTCTGTCTTACAAATACTGTATATTTCTTATCTCCTGTTTCTGCCCTTTTACCTTTCTTTGCACCCGCCACTATCTGATGTACTATGTTATTTACTTATGCTCTCTAGAATGTGTTCTCTAGAATGAAAGCTCCGCCATGGCCAGGAATTTAGTCTGTCTCATTCACTGGTCTATCCCTAACCCTAACACATTGCATGGTGCATTCTAGGTTCCCCAAAAAAGACTAGATGAGTGAATGAATGACCTCAGGGTTTCTAATTGTCAGGAAAACCTCTGAAGCCCCTGGGAGCAAGTGTGACTGAGTGACCTTGCAGGTAGTGAGATGTGGAATTTCAGGCCAGTTCTGCCCTGATTTGGTCTATGACTTTAGGTAGATTCCTTTCCCTCTCTGAACCTCTCTTCCATGTGTAATAAAGAGAATTATATGCAAAAGTAAGAGAGGCTCTGAAGTCAGACAAGGGGTCAAATTCCTACTGGGACAAGAATTGCCTGTGCGGCATTGGCAAGTTCCCCCGCTCTCCCCAAGTCTGTCTCCTCTGTGAGGTAGGCAGCGGGCTGGGGTAGCTAAATGAAATATTGTGGTGAACCCCACTGTAGTGGTTGGCATGTAGAAAATATCCAAGGGGACCCTGTACAATGGACAAGCTGCGTGAGCATGGAGGAGGCGGAGTCACGGTATCACCCTAACTTGAATGGCATTGCCCACCTGCCCTGCCTGGTGCTGGCCCAGCTGAGGATGCCCATCCCTGTGGCTGCTTCCTTGGTCCCTGGTCCAGGCTGAGGTTCATCTCACAGGCATGTGTCCTCAAGGGGTTGTATGAGTCACTGGGCCTGGTGCAGGGAGCCCAGCCCGCCTCTGCAGCTCTCCTCTCCCTGCAGTCTTCATCTGCAGCTTCATGGTGGCTGCCCCCATCTTCGGCTACCTGGGGGACCGCTTCAACAGGAAGGTGATCCTCAGCTGTGGCATCTTCTTCTGGTCGGCAGTCACCTTCTCCAGCTCCTTCATCCCCCAGCAGGTGAGGCCCACCCCGCTGCCCAGCTGGGTTCCTGCTCTTCCCATCCCCGTGTCCCAGTCCTCAGTGGGTGGCTAGCCTGTTTATCTTAGTTTGAACCCATGACAGTGTCTTCCCAGTGCAGAAGGACACTAGTGGTGTCCTTGGCTGTTTTTATAAACCAGCCCTACAGACCGGGCCTTCTCCATGCCAGCCTATACCGGAGCCTTGCAGCTCTAGGTGGCACCCTCACTCTTTCCAAGTTGCCCTCTGACTTGGACAAGTTGCAAGGAACACGGGAAGCAAGCCTGGCCTAGGAGTTAGGACTCTGACTTCCAGTCTTAGCCCTGCCATTATCTTGCTGTGTGGACCTCAGTGAGTCCTACCCCTCTCTGGTTCTTCCTCACTTTGCTTATGATGAGCAGCTAATACCTCGGGTCTAAGTCCCAGGGAGGCAAACATCAACTCAACATAAAGAGGTTTCTCACATAGCTCTTACGGTCCTGGGTCCCGGGTTTGAATATCCCAGCTCCATTGCCTACTCATCTTTGTGACCTGGAGAAATGTACTTAATCTCTCTCAGCCTCAATTTCCTTATTGTTAAAATGGGGCTAATGCTTCTCGGCTTGAAGGTTTCTTGTGAGAAACAACTGATCTGATGAAATGTCCAGACCCTGGAACACGGCAAATATTTAACAAATCTTTATTTCTCTTCTTTCTTCTAAAGAGGAGATAGAGGGCCGAGGATTTAGCTCAGTGGTTCTGCTGCCTGCCTTGTAAGGGCAAGGACCTGAGTTTGATCCCCGGTACCAAAAAAACAAACCATTAAAGAGGAGATAGGTTGCCTTGTGTGGGTAATGAGTTTCCCATTGCTAGGAGTGTTCAAGCAGAGGGTAGAGGAAGGAGGAAAGAAAACCAAGATCTGTCCTCAGCCCTTCCTTGGGAGCCTGGGTGGGAACATGTGACAGAAGCTCCCAACTAGGAGCCTTCAAGACTCATAAAGTGTTGAGTCCTCACTGATAAGAGAGCAGTCTCTTGAAATCCATGGGGTCAGGGGAGACTTCCTGGAGGAGGCTGCATGTGAACCAGGGAGCAGGCCTGGGAGGCAAGGCCTTTGGGCAAAGGTGGCATGGGCAGAGGGGTTACCCATAGGTGCAGAATGGCAGAGTGTAGAGGGAGGAGGATGAAGAGGTGTCTTGGCCAGAAAGGAAGGCAGGGGCCAGATCATACAGAGCCTTGAGAGCCACGTCAGTGGGCCTTGCCCTGGAAGAGTTTGAAGGACAAGGACAGATCAGATTCCTGTTGATGGAAGGGAGAGTGGAAGGGAAGGCAGAGAGCTGAAAGGTTTGCAGGTTCATGCAGGAGGGTCAGGCCCACAGGCTCTGGGACAGGTAGAGTTTGCAGGCCTCAGCAGAAAACAGGAACCACTAGGGCCTCTTCTGGGCCTCATCCTGACTTGAGCGCCTGCCCCCCATTCTGAGCTAGGGAGAGGAGCTAAGAAGAGGCAGAAAGAAAAACTGCTCCCAAATACGGTAATGTGTAAATTCATTGCAATTGCGCTCCTTGTTCCATGGGGGTTTCCGGTGGACCTTGGCAATTCGATTCTGAATTTGGCAGAGAAATTCCCCATGGACAGCCAAAAGCAATGCAAAAAATGACAGTGAAAGGGGATTCACCCTATTGGGTGTTTTAAAATAACATCTACTGAGCCAGGCATTCTGGTGCATGCTTGTAATTCCAGCACTCTGGGAGGCTGAGGCAGGAGAGTTGCAAGTTCAAGCTCAGATTGGGCAACTTGGTAACTTAGTGAAAACCTGTCTCAAAATAAAAAAGAGCTGGGGATGTAGCTCAGTGTGAAAGCCTTGGGTTCAATACCCAGTACTACAAACAAACAAAACTCAAAAACAAATGAACAAACAAACTAAAAAAACAACAAAACCAAAAATCTACAGGTATTCTAACTAAAACAGTTGAGGGATAGATGAAGAGATCAGTAAAATCAAGTCCTTGTGACTCTGGGGATTGAATGTAGAATGAAACTTACATCTCAAATCAGTGGTTCGGGAAGAACTGAGTATTCATCTGGGTAAGAAACAGTTTGGCTAGGTGTGGTGCCGCACACCTGTAATCCTAGCACTTGGGAGGCTGAGGCAGGAGGATCTCTGAGTTTGAGGCCAGCCTTGGCTACATAGTGAGTTCAAGGCCAGCCTGAACTACATAGCCAGACCCAGTAGAAAAACCAGCAAAGGGTAGCTACAGGCCATTCCAGGAGAAGATACCCCAATGGCCAATAAATGTAGGATGAGATGGCTCAGCCTCTGGAGTAATCAGGGAAATGCAAATTAAAACAACAATGAGATACCATTTCACACTCATCAGATTGGCAACAATTAAAAAGGCTGACAATACCAAGTGTTATTACAGCTGTGGGGAATCCAGGTCTCAAGAGTTGCTGGCGGGAGTGTGAATTGTTAGAACCTCTTAGGAGATCACAATGGCACACACGCCTGTAGTTGCAGCTCCTTTGGGCTGATAGGGTGGGAGGATTGCGTGATTTTGTGAATTTGTGACCAGTCTGGGCAACAGAGTGAGACTCTGTCTCAAAAATAAAAGATAGGTCAGGCATGACCCATGGCACATCTGTAATTCCAGGACTATGTGAGGCTGAGGTGAGAGAAAGATTAAGTTTGAGCCCAGCCCGGGTAACTTAGTGACTTACGGAGATCCTGTCTCGAAAACAAACAAAAGAGGATAGGATGTAGCTTAGTGTGAAAGCAGCTGGGGAAAAAAGGGGAAAAAAGGAGGCAACAATGCCAAGGACCACCTGCATAGGGTGTAGGGCCTGGGCCTGCACAGCTTATAAATGGGGCATATTCGTCTTGCAATTCTGGATAGCAGAAAAATGAACTAGATCTAAGGTAACCAGCACAAATGGGTTGCAAAACAAAGAAGAATGAGGGAAAAACTATGTGGCAGAGTAAAATGCATGGAATGGTCCCTTTTATGTTTATTTTTTACAAGCACACAGAGGACACTAAGTGCTGTTTATTGGTACCTAAGTGTGCAACAAGACAGAGGTGGCTTCACAGCAAGCACGCAATCCAGCAGGCTGCTGTGAGTGGGTTAGGGACACACAGGGCCCCTTCTGCCTGCTAGTATGCTGGGAGGGATGGATGACGTGCATCCCAGCCTCTCTAAAATGTAACAAATGTAAAATTGAAGAGAATGGTTTTAATGCTTTGGGGAGAGTGTAAGCCTTCCTAAACAAGGCATTAAGGAAAAATAAACAGATTTGACTGCAAATTAAAGAGAAGATCGGGAAGCTTAGCAATAGTGAAACTCACCATAAACAAAGTGGGAAGATGACTGAAAACATTGGTGACACAAATGATAAAGAATCAAGCCCTGTGGTGTAGGAAAAGCTCATATAAGTCAATACAAAAAAAAAGGTCAAGCAATCCACCAGAAAAATAGGCAAAGGCTGTGGGTTGGTAGTTCCCAGGAAAAGAAACAAGCAAGGAGCTAAGGAAAGACAGCCCAGGAAAGAGAGAAGGGGTCAGGTGCAAGGCCTAGCGAGCCAGCTGGGCAGTTGGAGAGGGAACTGGGGACCCCTGAGAGAGGGCTGGATGTGGGCATTGCTGGCCGGATGGGTGGCCAGGGTGGGGCCAGAGAACCATGACCAGGCTGTGTTCTCAGGCCCTGGGCAGCTGGGGTGACTGAGAGGGCAGGTCCACATCAAAGGGTAGGACCACCAGCAAGCAGCTGGCAGGGCCCCACCCTTCCTTGCTCGGCTGGCTTTGTGCTTTGATGTGTGTGTGGCAGGGGCCCTGAGCCCAGTGGGCTGCCCTGCTCACTCCCCACTCACACTGGGTTCTCCATGCCATCAGGGTTGGCCCTAATACCCTGCTTGGGGGAGGGGCTCCTGAGGTGGGGCCAGGACCAGGGAGGAACTCTCCTAGGTTCTAGCTTATAGGGACCAAGAGGCCTGTCTAGGCCAAACAGCTCTCAAGCTGGGAAAGTCCAGTCCTAGTCAGACCTGCCGTACAAAGGGGCACACTGAGGCCCAGCATAGCCGGGGAATTTGGTCACTGCTGAGGTGAGGGGTGGGCTCCATCCCCTTCCCTGGCTCCTCCCCACACGCAGGGGTGGGGTCAGAATGGGAGCAAGAATGAGCAGCCAAGGAGCAGCGCCATGCCCTAGCATCCTCTACCCTCCCCCGCAGTACTTCTGGCTCCTGGTCTTGTCCCGGGGTCTAGTGGGTATCGGCGAGGCCAGCTACTCCACCATCGCGCCCACCATCATTGGCGACCTCTTCACCAAGAACACACGCACGCTCATGCTGTCTGTCTTCTACTTTGCCATCCCGCTGGGCAGGTGAGAGGAGATGCCAGGGTGTGGGGGAGGATCTGGGCTAGGTACCCCTGGACTTTTGAGTATTTCCTCTGTTAGCCACATGTGCATGCAGTCAGCCTTGGAGCAGGCCTGACCAGCTAGCTGGGTGGGGAGGTAAGGTGTGCAGCCTGCCTCATACACCAGTGAGCATTTCCTGTCCCAGCCCCTGTCTCTGCTCAGCCTGATGCGTGTTTGTCTTCTCTACAGTGGCCTGGGCTACATCACTGGCTCCAGTGTGAAGCAGGCTGCTGGAGACTGGCACTGGGCCCTTCGGGTAAGGCCTAGGTCCCCTCGCATAAGATCGTCCTCAGTCCAGCCCTTGCCCCAGGATGACTAGAGACGCTAGGGCACTGGCCTTGACCTCCAGGGGCTCTCCTCGCCAGCCTGGGCTCTGAAGTCTTGAGCTAGATTAGTTTACACTGAGCTGTCAGGCGAGTCAGAGCCCCACTGCCTCAGGGTCTCAGTCCGAGGCTTGGAACCTCTCTTGGGAGCCCCAGGTTGAGAGGATGAAGGATTCTCTTCCCATGGCAGGAAATTCCAGGTCCACGACAGAGCTTCCTGCTTCTAGCCCTGGCTCTGTGCTGGGGCAAGGCTGGGACAGGACCTCAGTGTAGGGCCCCTTGGAGCCATTTCCTGTCCTGTCAGAGGCCTGGGACATAGTTACCAAGGCTCCAGGATAGTGCAATCGGAGGAAACAGAGATCCCCATCTCCCAGAGGAGAGGAAGCTTAAGACAAAGTGTTTTTTCCTCAAAAGCAGGAAGGAAGCAGCCTCCGTGGAATTTCTTGGTGGGGATGGAGAGCGGTGGCATGGAGAGGAACCAGCTCAAGGCTCCCAGGCCTGGGGTGGGGGTGGGGACAGACCTTTTTGCTCGGGGAGTGGTGGAAGGGCTGGTGTGTTGGAATCCAGGCTGTCAAGAAGTCCCCTCCCATGTTCGGAGAGTTCTGGGGCCTTGCAGACTCTCTTCCTGCCAGGAGGCTGGCCGCAGATGCAAAGGGGCCTGCACGGGCTCCTCCCAAAGGACTCTACCTGATTGACGAGCAGGAGCATACCTGACTCGTGCCTGGCCATTCCCTTCTCAGGGCACCACAGAGCGAGAGGTGTATCTGGGGAACATTCCCAGCTTCAGAGGGTGGGACTGGGCTGGTCTCCCCCATTCTCTCCTCCCTCCAAGTCATCATTTCATATGTCTGTCATCTGTCTTTTCATTATCCATCTGTCCATCCAATTTCCTTCCGTATGCCTGCCTACCTTTCCATGTATCCTCTGCTCAGTAACCCCTCTTTCCTCCTGTATCTGTCCATCCATCTATCCATTCATCTATCACTTTCCTCCTTTCTTTCAGTCTGTCAGTCTTCCTTGCCTGTCTTCCCTGGTCTGAAGAGTCCCCTTTGAGCCCCTAGACCCCTCACTGACCTTGCCCCCAATGGCTTTGCCCATCAGGAGGGCTGGCCAGGCAGTGCCCCAGAGCCCAGGGAAGGTACAGCTTGCCTGGCCCCCTCTAGTGCAGCAAAGACAAAGCCGATGGGGCTGTGTCCTAACTTCATGGCTCATCCTCCACCAGGTGTCCCCTGTCTTGGGCATGATCACAGGAACGCTCATCCTCATCCTGGTCCCAGCCACTAAGAGAGGCCATGCTGACCAACTCGGGGGGCAGCTCAAGGCACGGAGCTCGTGGCTCCGAGACATGAAGGCCCTGATCCGAAAGTGAGTACTGTGGAGAGAGAGGTCTGTCGGGAAGAGGGAGGGCTGCCATAGTGAGAGGGCCTTTTAGCACCTTCAGCCCATCGCTTGCCAGGTCTGATGCTGGCGGTTCTGGCTGCTAGAGTTTATTGTTCCTGTAGCCTGAACCCGCCCTGGAGCCTGTGAGGGAGGCGTCTCAGCTCTTTCAGGGGATGGCATGGGGCAGCAGGCTGAGGTAGAAGAGGCAGCCTCCTGGGCCCTGATGTGGGCTGTTTGTTGCAGCCAAAGAGGGTCCTGGCCCCAGCTCAGTGTTGCCGCCCTGGCCTCTCCCCAGCCGCAGCTATGTCTTCTCCTCCCTGGCCACGTCGGCTGTGTCCTTCGCCACAGGGGCCCTGGGCATGTGGATCCCACTCTACCTGCACCGTGCCCAAGTTGTACAGAAGACGGCGGAGACCTGCAATAGCCCGCCCTGTGGGGCCAAGGATAGGTGAGCCTAGCTGGTGGGGCCAGGGTGGCTGGCGAGGGACACTGGACAGGGAAACACCTCTGCTCCAGCTGTTGACCCCCCCTAACCTGTACCAAATGTCCTCTTTCCCCACAGCCTCATCTTTGGGGCTATCACCTGCTTCACGGGCTTTCTGGGTGTGGTCACGGGCGCAGGCGCTACACGCTGGTGCCGCCTGCGGACCCAGAGGGCTGACCCACTGGTGTGTGCTGTGGGCATGCTGGGCTCTGCCATCTTCATCTGCCTCATCTTCGTAGCGGCCAAGAGCAGCATCATGGGCGCCTATGTGAGTGTAGTAGGGGCCGGGCACAGTGGTCGGGGAGGGAGGTTGGAGCTGGGCTGGAAATGAAGTCTGGGTTGCTGGGCCCTCCATCTTCATGGGGAGGCTCCTGTCCCGTGGCTGCTTGTCCTTGCTCCGTCCACCACCTGTCCAGGGCTCTGGGTATCCCTTGGGGGTGTGGGTATGGCTTGAGTTCTCTGGGTAATCCACCCAGAGAGGGTGGGGAGGGATAGGAGGCTGCAGCCAGAGTACAGGTGCAGCTGGGGCTGCTGGTGGGTGGAGAGGCCCCTGATGGCTGCTCTCTTTTCTCCTGGACAGATCTGTATCTTTGTCGGGGAGACACTGCTGTTTTCTAACTGGGCCATCACTGCGGACATCCTCATGGTGAGCCAGGCAGGCTGAGATCACCTTGGGCTGACCTAGGCCTTTTGACTTCACAGGAGCATCAGGAGAGGGCCAGTGAGGAGGTGGGAGAGCTGGAAGTAGGCCTTTGGGAAGGTGACCCCAGAGGCTGGGAGGTTTTGGGGTCTGCATCAGGGTCTGCAAACAGGGCTGAGCAGGCAGATGAGGTGGGGTGTGGGGCAGGGTGGGGAGGGGATTGTCTCAAGGCTCAGGTTTGTGTGGGGAGGCTGGCGGTGCCAGGCTGGCACGGAGGTGGTGTTGCCTGCCAGCACTCCTCCCCCCAGGGGCCAAGTGTCTGTGGGCTCTGCCCTCCCGGGCGTGCCTGCCTGGGTGCCCGAGGCTGGGCCAGCCAGACAGAGGCCGTCTTCACAGGGCCAACAATGGGCTGCAGACCAGCCAGCCAGGGACAAAGAGCCATCTGAACAGCAGGCAAGGGGCCTGTGTCCCCAGGCAGGATGGGAGCAGTCTGGGAGGAACCAGGAGGGGGCAGTGGACTTCTTGGCTTGTGGCACTCAGTCGGGGGGAAGCAGGGGTGGGTACAACCCTTGTTCCATCCTTGGAGATCCTCCAGGTCAGGGTTAGGAGAGGACTGGGAGCAGAGAGTGCAGAGGACTCGCATGGGAGGGTGTCGGGAGGGGCAAGGGCAGGGGAAGAAAGACCCTCAGGGTGCTTGAGGTCTGGTGTGACCACAGGGGACAGCCCAGGAGGTCAGAGTCTGGCCAGGTACTGGGCCCCTGCTAGTGCCTCTGCTTCAGGAAATTGCCTTGTCCACCCAAGGTTCTTTGAGTATCTGCTTCCCCCTGATGGTCTCTGTCCCAGTCCATGGGCAGGGTGGAGGTGGTGGGTTCTGACTCAGCTTGGGGTCTCAGCATGGAGCTGGGTGGTGGCTGGGTAGGATGGGTCACCATACAACCCCAGGGTGATGGGGGACTGAGTGTCTGAATCAAGTGCCCCTGGCACTGGGCAGCCGGCCTTTCCCTGTCTCCATCCCCAGGGGCAGCCCCTGACAGCTGCTGACAGGGTCTGGGTCCCAGGGAAATCATGTTCCAGTTTATCAAGTGCTAAGTGACTAGTTATTACTGGAAATGGGGTCATGCAGTCTCATCAGATCCAGGTCTCTTCCCATCTCATCTCAGATAGGGTTCCCTGTGGGGCTACTGTCTGCACACTGTCCATGGAGGCTGGTGCCCTGGACAGAGAAACTAGCTGGAGTTCAGGGGCAGGGGTGCCCAGGGACACCCACTGGGCTGGTGCTGCCCATTTGGCTGCTCTGCCCTAGCCCCTCCTGTCTGACTTGGAGCTGGTCAGGGCTTGCTCAGTTTTAATGGTGGGTGAATAGGGTGTCTGGGGCCCATGAGTTCTTGGCATTTGGTGCTGGGTCGGGGGTTTGCCCATCTATTCAAATGAGGCTCTTCCAGGCAAGGATCTTACTTCACACCAGCCCCTGTCCCACGCCAACCTCGGCCTTGCTTGGTCCTCATGAAAGGGGAGCCAAGAGAGGTATTTAACTTGTGGGAGGGCAAGAGGCCAGGCTTGCAGTTCCAGAGTGGCACCACTCCATGTGACCCCTGGGAAATGGCACCTCCTTGGGCCTCAGTGTCCCTTGACCATGGTACCTGGGTGTTCCCCAAGAACCAAGTGCAGAGCTGATGGCAGCCTGGTCAGCGGCAGGTGAGGAGGCAGCTCTGCTCTAATTCTTTTTTTTTTTTTGGTACTGGAGATGGAACTTGGGACCTTGCGCTTGCAAGGCAGGTAGTGGAACCACTGAGCTAAATTCTTGGCCCAGCTCTGCTATTCTTGACAGTTTGGCCTCCTGAAAGTGCACTAAGCTGTAACTTTAGGCCTGTGGGAACCACTACCATCTTATTCTCCCACTTGGATATGATTGGAGAGAAGACAAAGATCTCTGCCTCTGAGGTGGGGATGGAGGGCAAGTCAGAGGGGTCTGGGCTGGGCCTGGTGCTTGCTGCAGGTGGGGTCAGCGAGCTGTAGGTGGAGGGGCAGATGGGGAGCAGCTACCGTATCGGGAGAGAGGAGGTGAAGACACCAGGGCGGGAGCTTGATTGAGGCTGTGGGGTCTTCAGAAGTGTCACAGCAGCAGGGGTGGACTAGATGGGGGACCTGGTGGCTCTGGCCACTGACCTGCCTATCTGTCCTGCAGTACGTGGTCATCCCCACCCGACGGGCCACCGCTGTGGCCTTGCAGAGCTTCACCTCCCACCTGCTGGGTGACGCAGGGAGCCCCTACCTCATCGGCTTTGTGAGTGGCTGGGGGTAGGGGGGTGTCGGGGCTGCCCTGGAGTGTTCGGGGGCTTCGGGAGGTGGCACAGCCCTGATCCCACCTCCCAATCCTCACAGATCTCAGACCTGATTCGCCAGAGCACCAAGGACTCCCCGCTCTGGGAGTTCCTGAGTCTGGGCTACGCCCTCATGCTCTGTCCTTTCGTCGTGGTCCTGGGTGGCATGTTCTTCCTCGCCACTGCTCTCTTCTTCCTCAGCGACCGTGCCAAGGCTGAGCAGCAGTGAGTGGGCAGGGGGTGGGCTGGCTGCCTCGGCTGTGACCCAGGGACTGTGACAGTCCTGCCATGTCCCTGCCGAGCAGTGTGTGTGTGGGGTTACAGTGGCCTCCTCTGCACCCTGGGTGAGGGGTGGGTAGCCTGGTGCCGGGTTCCAGGACCCAGCCCCAGCACGCCTGGGCCCCAGGCCTCCCATGCCCCACCTCCAAGCTTCTGTCACACTTATAGCCCATGATGGCAGCTGCCAAGCCTGTGGCCTAGGATGTGGGATTTTCTCTGGAGCTGCAAGTTTTCACAGCTGAGACCCTCTCACCGCTTTCTTCTCCTTTTCTGACTTCTTTCTCCTTTTCTGTTTACTCTTCTCTTTCTTCTCTCCCACCTCTGGGCTCTCCCACCTCCCCCTGGGGCTGACGAGGTCCCTGCCCAGCACCTCCGGTCAGCCAGCCCCAGTGATGCGAAGTGCCAGAACCGTGCCCGGGCCCGGCCCCCGCTGAAGCGCCACCCTGACCCCCGCCCGTCTCTCCCTCAGGGTGAATCAGCTGGTGTTGCCGCCCCCATCCATGAAGGTCTGAGGCGGTGAGTGCAGGCTAAGGAGGGGGACACAGCAGTTTGTTTTTTTCTGGTACTGGGGATCGAACTCGGGACCTTGTGCTTGCAAGGCAGTCTTGGTGCTTCAGCCCAACAGAGCAGTTTTAAGGGACAGGGAGACTCCTGGGCAGCTGCCTGTTTCCTGAACTCATCCCACCAACCCTGACTCCTGAAATGCTGTCCAAATTCAGTGACGGAGCTACGTGAGGGGGAGTGGCCTCCTTCCAGTAAATCAGATGCTTGCTTCCTTGAAAGGCCTGAGGGCATGGGTCAAGGTTGAGACTGGTCAGGAACTCCCCGTTCTGTTGGGATTCTGTACTCCCAAATCCTCCTGAAGGTGCCAGGGCCCAGCTCCTAGTGACCTTCCTCAGGGTCTGGGCTCTGGAGGCTGCAGCTTCCCAGCAGCGCAAGCCCAGGGTTATGGTCCCAGAGCCCAGAGCAAGTCTGATTCCCCAAACAGCAGGTAAAGTGAGGAGCGAAGCCTTGGGATGGGCCCCCCAAAACCCCAACTCTGAAATCACACCCTTCTCCCCCTTAGGTACCACTGGGACAGTGAAGAACCCTTGCTCTCACCTAATCTGGGAAGCGTCCTACAGCATCCCAGAACAGCAGAGCTGTCCCAGAGCTTCCTGTGTGACCCACACCTGGGCACTCACCCTCTCTGGTCCAGGACTGCTGAGTGGACCTGGCTCCAAGAAGCCACATCCTCTGTTACCCTGGAACGCTGTGTGTGTTGGGGCCACCAGGTTGGACAGATTCTCAGCCCTGGGTTTGGACTGCAGGGCCCCTGGGCCCCAGGGAGAAGGCACCCCCAGGTAGATCTATCAGGAGACCTTGGCCTGCCACAGGCTTATGTGATCTTGGGCAAGATCCTGCCCGCCCTAGGTGGTGAGGCCAGGGAGCTGGACTTTCCCACGCAGTGTGTTGGGCAAGACACTACCTACAGCTTTGAAGACCCAGTAGATCCTGGACTATACAGAGAAGAGGTGGTCCCGGCCACAGGGCTACAATTCAGGTTCTGAGGCTCTTGAAAGCTCAGGGACCACTGCCCCTTAGCTGGGCTTCTGACTTTAGGGTCACTGGATTCAGGCTGGCACATGGAATGGGACACTTGTCACAGGGTGCTTCCTGGCCTGCTGGTCACTCTGGAGGACACGTCTCTGCACCTGGAGATTTCCCAGGTTGGGAACACCCCTCCACAGGGAGCTGGCATCACCAGGGGTGAAGGCCCTGGTGGCAGCCACACACCGCCCGCGCCCCAGGTTTGAGATGCTGGGAACCACCCACCAGTCCACCTCTGCTGACCTCCCAGAAGCCTGGAGCCCACTCCCTTCCTCAGGATGGGCTGAGCCTTTTCCAAGGGCAGGACCCAGGGAACCATACCCAGAATTCAGGGGGCAGTAGCCTGGGCTGAAGCTGCTGGAGGAAGCAGCTATCCCCTGAGCTTCCTGGTCTAGGGGATGAACTTGATGGAGGGAGGCTGGTCCCCTGGCCACCAGCTGCTGTGGCTCTCACAGACACACTTCCACAGTGACTCTCTCAGCTGATTCCGGGAGGGCTGAGCCTTCTCCCCAGCCTTTTTGATCACCCTGCTATCCGCACCCCCACTCCCTACAACCACCCACCAGGGTACAGTTGTCACCTGCACAGCAGGCCCTCAGAGGAGCTTGTACCCTCCGCCCCACACTCCCTGCACATAGATGCTGAGAGCCAGCTGGACACTGCTCCCCTTGCTTAGTTACTGGCTGGCTGTGGCTTCAGTGGTGTGTTAGCTAGTGGAATACCACTCTTCCAAGCTCTGGGGCACCCTAGGGGGTGGACAAAGGGGTGGTACCCCACGAAGACCAGCCTGGCCTCCACCCAACCTCACCTGGGGCCCCAGCAATGTTTTCTTGTTGTACAAGAACTAGGTCCAAATGTTGCCTCCTCTTCCTTCCGGAAGCCAAACTGCTCCTTTATTTTTTAGAGCTGCTGATTGTGAATCTCAGAATCTTAAGAGAGAAGCCAAATATATTCCTCTTGTAAATGAAGAAATAAACCTATTTAAATCATGTCCTGGTGGTTCCTGCAGTGAGTTTAGGGAGGGGTGGGACACATCCAAGGGGTGGTGACACCTGTGCTGGGGGCCAGCCTGGCAACAGATCCAGGCCTCGGAACCAGAAGCTGCTGCCTTAGGCTCCTTTATTAAAATTGTGAAAAAACAGGACTGTCAAGGGCTGCTGGACTGGGACTGGGACTGGGACTGGGACTGGGACCCGGGGGTGGGTGGGTGGGGGGGTGGGCACCAGCGCTCAGGGTGTTTTTAGCTGCTGCCTCAGCAACTTCTTTTTCCTGCCCCCACTCTGGAACAGGCTGGGGCTCCTGACCAAAGACAGCCTTGCCTTCTTCCGTGACAGGGCAGACTGTGGGGACTTGCCTGAGATTCCCTTTTCGGAAAGAGATTTCAGATGTTGCTTTTCGCCTGAAGGCTCTGTGGGGGACACTGGGGTGTTCCCATTCACCTGCGACAGCTTTCTGCTTTTCTTCTGGAGCTCTGGAGTCTTGGCAGGGGTGCTGGGGCTCAAGGTGAGGGTGTCAGGGCCTGGGCTCTTGGCAGCAGGGGTCCCATCCCCTTGGGGCTGGGCTAGGACCTTGGCCTTCATCCTTTTTCTCTTCTTGCCTGTGCTGGGTGGCTGGTCACCACCAGTGGCTACAGGAGTGGCTCCCTTTGGCGTGGCCCCCTCTTCTGGTGTGGCCTCCTCCAACTTGCGTTTCTTACGCTTTTTGGTCTCTGGCAAGAACCCTTTTTTCTTCCGCTTCATGCTAATGGGGCTCTCAGAGACATTGGGGACTGCTTTGGTGTCCTTCTTCTCTACCTTGGGGCGCCTAGGAGGAAGTGAGCAGGGTAAGAAAGCATCCAGCGAGGGCAGGAGCCACCTCCACCTTGGGGTCCTGTGGACCCAAGTTGCCCAAAGCTCTCAGACCCATGCACCCACACCACAGCATGTGCCAACACGGGTTAAGGGGGGTCTTTCCAGCCGCCTCCCAAGGTGTGGGTCTTCCTTCTCAGAACCTACTGGACTCCGAGCATCTTCATGGCCTGCCAGTATAGGTCGTAGAGGCGGCTGGAGCCAGATGAGTGCTCCCCCTGTTGTAGGCTCTGCTGCAGGCTCTGCTGTTGGCCCCGCAGCACACCCAGGAGAGTGGTCAGGTCCACAGTCAACTTCTGCAGAAGAAGTGAAGCTTGGAGCTGCCCTGGTGATGGGAGGCAGGGCCTCTCCAGTGGCTCCAGCCTGCTCATGGGCCCTCAGCCACCCCTGCCTGTCAATCACCAGCCTCTCTCCTCTGGGAGGAAGCAAGTCCCCCACCTCCATGTTTGCCCCTCTTCCCACAGCCAGAGGGCCTTCTCTGCTTTCTTACCCCCCACCAACCTTCCTCCTGCCATGGTTCTGACTGCCCATCTCTAAGGGCGTCACTCAGTCCTCTCAGGTTGTCAAACTCCTCCCCACCCCTCTCTTCCTGAGGCTGGCGTGCTAAGTAGGTAATTTCTGAAACCCACTGGCTTCTAGGCCCCCACCCTTCTAGTTTCCTTCCAACCCCAGTGGCAGTTGCTCAGTTCTGCCCCTTACTTTGCTGTCACCTGCCTCTCCCCTCAGCAATGCTCAAAGGCCAAGCTCACCCTCACCTGGGCTCTGACCAGGCTGTCTGTGCTAAGTCTCCCAAATCCTGATTTCTGGCCAGGCTTGGGGACCCAAATACCCATCTCCAGCTACCTCCTGGGCTTCTACCCTGATGGCCTGTGAGCATACTGCACCCTACTGGGCCCCAACTTGTCACTGCGTCTCTCTGCCCTCTTGCTTCAGGCTTGGACGGCTGGCTGGACTCCACACCCGGAATCTTCTCCACCTCTTCCCACTGCCTCCTGCCCTTCCAGCCTCTTCTCAGCGCTCTTCCTGGAACCTTCTCACCCCCACTCTGTCAGGGACAGGTGGCACTCTGCCACCCAAGTCACTCACACTCATCCATCCAGTGGTAGGAAAACCATGTAAACACACAGCTCGGAGTCCTCACACTGGCACCCAGAACCTTCCCCGCATGGTCCTTGCTGATCTCCCTCCTGCCCCGGAAGCCCTGAGTATTCCGGATGCCTGCTCCTTCCCAGGCCCAGCTCTGCGGGCTGCTGGCTCACCTCATGATGGATCATCTTGAACAGAGTGTTGAGCAACTCCAGGGAGGACAGCTGCTTCTGGTGCTCTGACCGGCTCTGCGCCTCCCCCAGTGTGCACAGGTTCTAGGGAGGAGGGGCCAGGCTGAGGTATGTAGAGGGGAGTACCTGCTGGAGGCCCCAGCCTGAGACTAAAGCCCAGAGGAAGATCCTGTTCCTGGGACTATCCCAGCCCCGCTCTAGAGGGAGGCTCAGGTTCTGGAGAACCTTCCCAATAGCCGGGAGGAGGGAGCTCCAGGATCTTACCTCCGTGACCTTCGCCAGGACCTGGCCAATCAGCTGCTCCCACTCAGGGTCCTCAAAACATCCCCTCAGCTCCCGTGCAGACAGGGTCTTCTGGAGCAGCAGGCAGGCCTGGGCCTGAGGAGAGAAAAATGTGGTTACCAGGAAGCTAGGTGCTGTAGGCTGAAGCTCAGGGACCGCCAGACACATGACAAGGCTATAGCAACTCTAGGTGGTGCCTGAAGGGTGCCTGTCCTGGGCCCCGCGATAGCCCACTCCTGTCGCCTCATGATGTAGGCAGGGGACACCGAGGCCTGGGAAAAGGCTGGGGTCCTGAATGGATAGGGACCTCGGGTTGAAACAGTTTCAGGCCCTCTTACTAGCTTAGCACCATCACCCTCCTGCCTGCCCAACAGCCAGGGCACCTGACTGACTGGGCGATGCTAGGCATCCTCTTGTTCAGGCAAGAGGACAGCTTCTCACAGGAGTTGCAGGGCTCAGGCCAGGTAAGAAGTGGTGGCAATGGGAGAAAGCCAGCCCTGTCTCCACAGATCTTGTACCCATGGTGGAGAAGGGCCATAGCACAGCCCACAGCCAAGGCTGGCAGGGCATGGCTCCTGGGCCTCACACACCCAAACAGAAGGGGATGAAGTGGATAATCCTGGCAGGCCCAGGGGCATCTGGGAAAGCCCTTACCTGCTGGCGGGCCCGTGTTGAGCCAGCCATGCGCTGGACCAGGACGGGGAGCAGATTCTTACAGATCACCTGGGAGGGGAGGAAATAACAGAGGCTATGAGAGAGGCAGGGCCTGGGATGGGCAGGGGTTGCCAGGGGGCTAGGGGTGGCCTGGACACTCACCGGGTACCGGGAGAAGAGGCTGAGGAACATGGGGACAGTGAGGGGGCTGTTGCGCTTGGTCAGGAAGGAGCTCAGCGCTGCCAAGTACACTGGAGTCACGAGGTCCAGGTCCAGGCAGCTGGCAGTCTAGGGCAGGTGCGAGAGATGGGGTGAGACTTGGGGCAGGCCCAGGTGCCTGCCAAAGGCCAAGGGCTGGGGCTTGGTTCTTCTTCTAGCCCTCAGGGACCAGGCCCCACTCACCTGAGGGCTTGTGTCCTCAGGGCCATGGTTGGGACCGGCTCCCTGGCACTGTTGGCTCTCCAGCATGTGCTTCTTGGTGGCATTGCCCTTCAAGACGCGCAGCAGGTAGAGCGAGGCATTAAAGTAATAGAGGGCGACAGAGGAGTCAGCCTGCTGGCCGGCCTGCCGCACCAGTCGCTCCACCTGGGTGTGCAGAGCCGCTGCGCAGTGGCCCATGTCGTGGCAGTAGTGTCGGGCACGGCACAGGTGCTGCCTATGGGCGAGAGGGGCAGCACTGGTCAGATGTTCCCTCCCTGGTTCTCTGCCAAGCAGGGCTAACCCTGAGGAAGGACCCAAGTCCCACAGCACTGGGGAAGGAACAAGGAGGCAAAGGGGGAAACGATTCCCCGGACTGGGCTGTAGCACGGGCCAAGACACCCACGCCTCCCCTCAGTACCCGTTTCTTCTGGGGCAGTGGCCCGTAGGACCTCTGCAAAATGAGACCAGGGCCTGGGGATTTAGCTCAGTGGTTCCGACGCCTGCCTCAAAAGCGCAAGAACCCAAGTTTGATTCCTGGTACCACAAACAACAACAACAACAAAAACCAACACAAAACAAAACAAAACAACCCAAAATAAGACCAGAGTCTGTGTGCTCAGAACCCTGAGTGGGTTAGGTGTGGTAGTGCATGCCTGTGATCCCAGCACTTGGGTGGCTGAGGCAGGAGGATTGTTGCCAGTTTAAGGCCAGCCTGGAATACAGAGACCCTATCTCAAAGCAAAACACACAAAAAGAAAACCGTAAAACCCAAACCCAAACAAACAAAACAAAAAGTTCTTTGTGATGCTGAAGGCCTGGGGACACAGTGGGGTTAAGTGAGACACTGGAAAAACTGGACATAAACTGGCAGAACTATCTGAGGGTCATGACCAGGGGTCATGTTGAGGGTGCCCCAAACCCTGTCTGCTGTGTATTTGGGGACCCAGGACTTTAGGCCTTTGCCTCCTCAGGTTCGAAGGTCTGTATTTGGCACAGACTTTGTCTCTTAGATGCCATAATTGCTTCCCTGCCAGACTCCCTGCCTCTAGTAAGCCCTCCCTCAACCTTCTCCAAATCAGACTGTCCCTGCTCCCACACTGTGGCTGAAATGCCCCCATGGGCCCTTCGATGCCAGGGAGGCAGCTCCTCTGTTCCAGCTGCAGCCGCCTATGACCAGCTCCTGAACACTCCCTCCCCTCAGCCCCGCCTGGGGCCTCCTGGTGATGTCCACTCGTTCCACAGCTCCAGCCTTGTGGCCACTTCTAGGATTACATGTCCCCACCTGCGTGCTCTCAGTCTCCCATTACTACCAGATCCCTGCTCGTGCAGTGCTGTCACTGCCAGATGACTGACTGGTCAGATCTCCTGTTATGACTCTGTGGGCAGGGACGGCTGGGGACCTGAGGACGCCAGCTCTAGGGCACAGCTAGCATGAATGAAATGACAGGAAATCGAAGACTGCAGCTACCGAGTGGCCTCTGTGCGAGGCTTGGCTGACTGGCTGGGGCCTATTGTCATACCCGCCCCACTCACATGAAGATACGGGCCGTCTTGTGCAGGAGGTCCTGCTCCTGTTTGCTGCTGCTGCTGCTGCTGCGCATGCTGTTCCTGATGATGTTCAGCAGTGGCTCAAGCAGCTCCAGAATCAGAGGGTTCTCAGGCTGCCTGGTCACCAGCACCTCGATCAGGTCCAGCACCTAGGGGTCAGAGTGGGGTCAGTCCACTCAGGACTGAGCACAGGGAGGGGCTGTGCAGGGCACTAGCCACCTGCTCACTTGCTCACCCGGATCTGGAAGTCCCGCCGGAGCGCCTTCTCCTTCTGCAGCTTATTCTTCTCATCACGCCGGGCCTGGAGGCGCAGCCTCTGCTCAGCAAACAGGCTGGAGAGACTCTCATCCAGGGCCATCATGGCCTCATCGCTCAGCTCTTCCTCATCCTCTTCACTGTCCACTTCACCCTGGGGACAGAGGCCCAGCCATCAGTCTGGACACACACACACACACACACACACTCTGGACACACACGCACGCACGCCTTTCTGTTGGTTCCTGCTCACCAGTGCCTTCCCAGCCTGCAGCACTTCCATGAGCTGCTGGCGGAAGCCTGGGTCCACATGCTCGTCTCGTTCCTCCTCCTCACTCTCCTCTCCCTCGCTATCCACTTCGCTCTCTGAGTTTTCTTCTTTGCTGTCTGAGCCGTCATCCTGTGAGGTAGGCTGGTTATACCTCCCCACTGCTAGCCCACGGCTGTAGCCCTCCCAGACCGGCTCTCTGCTGGCCAATACCTCTGCATCCTTCAGCTGCTTCTCATCGGAGTCATCAGTAACCACCACAGCATCATCTTCATCCTGGTTTTCCTCAGGGTTCAGCACCTGGGGAGGATTCCCAGGGTGCTGACTCACCTGCTACCCAGGCTCCCAACATTCCTCATCGCTGCACCTCGCCTCCTCTGACCAGACCTAGCCGTCTTGGTCAAAGGCTCCATCTCACGGAAGAGAATGGGAGCACCAGTGTTTCCTGGACAGCCCTCAGGATGCATGGGATAGGCTGGTGCAGCAGCAGTATGAATGAGTCCCTACTCAGAATGATTCTGCAGAGGGGGCTGAGATAATGACGTGGTATCCCCAGCATAACTTGGTGCTCAGTGAGCCCCATTCCACAGTCTGTTTCCCCTAAATCCCAACTCACATTCAGGATAAGCTGTAGGGCACGTGGGGTCAGGTGGGAGCAGATGTGGCCAAACACGCTCCGGGCCACCTGGCGCATCAAGTTGCTGGGCTGGGACAGCAGGGACAGCAGGATCTCTACCATCACTTCCACCCATGGTGGCTCCTGGGAGCCTGTAAGCAGAGAGATGGCTGAGCCAAGACAGGGCACTGCTGGCTGTACAGGCCAGCCCTGCTTGGGGGGTCCCTTTTACGCGACAGGACATGGCCTTCCCACCCCGCCCCCAGACACAATGACCCACTGATGGCCTTGGAGCGGGAACGGCGGGTCTTCTCCCCCATGCTCTTCTTGATGCAGGTCTGGATGTCCCCTAGGAGGTCACAGCTCTCTGTGGGGGACTGTGGGTAGGGTAGGAAGAAATCAGGGGACAGGCTTTGCTCCTGCGCTTGCTGAGCCAGGCAAGGAGCTGGCCAAGTGAGAACAGCTGGCTGAGGCCTAAACATTTTGGCCACCAGCCTGCCCTGCCCAGGCACCCTCACCACTCGGGAAAGAAGACCCCAACGTAGCCCAGGAGCTAATGGCCTCTCCCTACTTCATATGTATTCACAGGATCTGAGCCCTCAGTGAGCATGGAACCCTGTAGCTCCCAGCCTCCCATGGCTCAACACCTGGCTTGGCATTAGAGACAGACCTGAACCTGGGTCCCAGGTACCAGTGAAGTGTTTGTGGGGGTGGGTGGGGTGGGGCAGGGTGTGCAGCTCTAGGAAACATCCTGTAATCTGTAGTAGCTGCAAGGCAGACTTCCCCCTCATAACACCCTGGGTGTCAGTCTCCAGATCCCTGCGAATAGGCAGATGTCTTTCTCTGGGTTGCAACTCTTCCCCAAGGATTTGATACACTTTGAACTACAGCTTCCTCTGAAGAGTCAGACTCAGAGATCCCAAGGTCTGAGGCAGGTTACTCAGGTGTCTAAAAGTCACTGGGGCCCTGCTGCTATCAAAGGCTCGATGCCAAGGATTGGAAGCAAAAACTACAGCTACAGGCCCAGAGGAAGCAAACAAATGAGGGACCTGTTACTCAGGCTGCCCTGATAAGAGCCTCAGGCACCTCCAGGGAAACACTGCTGAACAAATCAGGGTTCAGGACTTCGGGGAAACACAAGGGGTAACAGCACTGTTGGTGCTAAGCTTCAAATATAGTCAAAGCTTCTTGCTGGACAGAACAGAAAGGGAGACAGGGTATTTTACAGGACCCATTATTGGAAGGTGTATGAGTTAGAGAAATGTGAGAATTTGACACCCCACAGGATGGGACATAGAACCTGTGCTGAGGAGTCACATAGAGGAAAATACTAACCTCACCCGCCCACCACCACTGCTTCTGGGTGGGGTGAGAATTAAACCGGGGGCCTGGCTGCCTCCCTTTTTGTGATAGGGTCTCACTACATAACCCAAGCTGGCCTCAAACTTGTGGCAATCCTCCTGCTTCAGCCTCCTGAGTACTGGAATTACAAGTGGGAGCCTCCATGCACAGCAAACTAACTGACTCCCCAGTGACATGTCCCATGGGTGCTGAGTCGGCCTCCCTCCTTCATACCTGTCACCTCTGGTCTGTAAACCACATTTGGGAGATCCTGTGGGATGGTTTGAATCCCAGCCACTTGCTGTGTGGCAAATTACTTGGCTTTGTTTCCCTACCTGTAAAACTTGGGAAGTACCTGCCCAAAAGCTTTGGGGATCATAAGAGGTGGCACTGTAGGGAAAGCTTGGGATGCTGGCTGGTGCCTATAAGTAGACATGGTGATTTTTCCTTGGGTTATAATTCCAGGATGGACTAGGAGACCAACTTCAACCCCCTAGGGCCTTCCCTGGCCCCAAGCCTCTCTGTAAGGGGCCCATCAAGCCCCAGAACCCTAGATTCCTAAAGGCCTCCCTCTAGGCCACCGTACCTTGAAGAGGTGGATGCCCACCAGGAGCAGCAGGTGCTGGAAGGCAGTGGCCTTGGCCTCTGAGGAGCAGGCCTCCAGTTCCTTCAGAGTTTCTAGCATCCTGGGGGGTGGGGCACAAGATATGTTTGCAGACCACCACTGCCAGCCATACCCAAGTGTCCCACCCGTTGTGCAAGTCCCATGCCTCACTGGTCCCAGGCCTGGCGCTGCTGCGTCGTGAAAGGTGTGACGATAGCCACGTTGCGGCTGTGATTCAACAGTGTGTCTGCTAACTGCACCAGGCGGTAGATCCAGGGCTGCCCACCCTGGGCTTGGTCCGGTATGTGCCTGAACTTCGTGCTGAGGATCTGCAGCAGGCTGGTGAGGGTGAGGCTGGAGTGAGAGGACTACACAGACAAACACAGCCCCCTCTCCACTCACCTCAGGGCTTGGTCCCTTGGCTTCTGGATCTATTGGGTGCCTACTACTCCCAGCTTAGCACAGGAGGGAGCAAATATCCCCAAGGTCTCCTCACCACCCTGGACTTTCCCAGGCTGCCCAAGGCCCACCTGAAAAAGGCACTGGTGAAGAACTCTCGTGTCCGGCTGTCCACAGGGAAGGAGAACTGCTGCTTGGTCTCTGGGATCTGGCTTGTGGGCTTCTTTGTCTTAAAGAATGAGTGGAACAAACAAAACCTGGGAGAGAGCCAGTGTCACCTCAGCTTGTGCCATTCATTCCAACAGGCTCCCCTCTTTGGGTGGTACCATGGAGGGTATGCCAGGAGGAAGGAGGAGCTACTCTGCGCTGGGCACAACCCCCAGGACCCAACAGGGCAAGGCCAGGCGCAGATGGGCAATGACAAGCAGGGGCTGCTTCTCTGGTCTAGATCTTGGCTTGAGTTAGGGAATGGGAACCAGAGCCCCTCCTGAAGCCGAGACAAGGGCTGTCTGACCAGTGGTCAAGTCATGCTCTGGTGCCTTCAAATGGGGGGCTGGGCGGCGGGGTGGGGGGAGGCTGGTTGGCTAGTGAAGCTGGCTACTGTGACCATGGTGGTGGCGGGTGGGGGCAACTCCAGCTCCATGTTGGACACAGAGGTGGGAGGTGCCAGGGACTCAACCCAAAGGCTTCTGGCTCCAGGGTGGACCCATACTAGGACTGGGCAAGGGGGCCCCTTCCTTAGTCACTACTGGGGATTGAGCACATTTCACACCTGGCCACCTGCTCGACCAAGGCCTCCTCTTTCTCTAGGTGCAAGGTATCCAAAAGGCTGACCAGGCGGTGGACAATCCACTTCCGCAGCCGGAATGTAGCTCGCTCAGGTCTGTGGGGCAAAGACCAACACCATGGAAGACGTTCAGAGATGACAAAAACCTGGGAATTCCTTTGCCCCATCTTGACAAGAAACCAAGACCTCCTGCCCTGTAGATCGTTATGGAAAGGCTGAGGGCATCTTCAAGAGCTAAGACTCCTCTCTTTCCTCCTTCTGTGGTTTGGAGTTCCCCTACCGCAGAGTCCTTAATCTGGGGTCCCTCACCCCCTGGGCCACTCACGTATTGAATGAAGCATCCTGGACTCTCTTCTGGTTCACGGTGCTGAAGTCAATCAAGGAGTCCAGACTGGGCTGGAGACACATGTCCTGCAGCCAGGCCACATAGTCCTGCAGGGCCTGGGGACTCAGGAACCGTGTAACACGCCAGAAGGTAGGCATGACGGGGAGTCCTTGGTTGGTGATGGATGAGAAGGCCACTAGCACGAGCAGCTGCCGCTCAGGGTCGTCCTGGCATCCCTCCAGGAAGGTGCCCACATACTCGCTCATCTCCGAGACAAACTTCGACTGATGTGAGAGCTGCAAGAGTCAGGTATGAGTGAGGGTCACTAGCCCATGGGGAGCCACCAGCCCTACCAGCCTCTTCCGCTGCAGGTTAATCCCAGGCACAGGCAGGCATGGCGGCACATGCCTATAATCCCAGAACTCTGGGAGGCTAAAGCAGGAGGAATTTAAATTTGAGCTCTGCCTGGGCAACTTGGCAAGACCCTGTCTCAAACAACAAAACAAAACACAACACTCAAAACAAACAGCTGGGGATGTGACTCAGTGTGAAGGTCCTGTGTTCAATCCCTAGCACCACAAAACAAAAAACCCAGGCCCAAAGTCCCTTCCTTTTTACAGAGCTGGGCTGAGCCTTAACTTGCAATTGCTCCTTGTCACTAGTGCTCCTGCCTGGCATCCACGCCTCCCCATTGTCTCAGTGGAGATGGTGACAGGCTGCTTTCTTGGCTTGACGCAGTGTGGAGTGGCATTTAAGAGCCTAGTTTGACCCGGATTCAAATCCTGCTATGTTGATTCCCAGCAGCGTCATCTTGGGACTCAAAAACCACCAGTCCTCGTGTGCTTGCTCTGCATGTGGCGAGCTTAGGGCCACATGTTTTCTTGTGGCAGCCTGTTTTAACTGTCATGACAACCCTTTTACCAGGCCCTGCCATCACTGTTTTATGAATGAAATGAGCTGGTGAGAACAGCAAAGGTTTGCTACGTCTGCTGCATGACAGTGCTCACGGCAACGATGATATTCTAAGCACTGTCACCTCCACTGGGGGAGCAGGGAAATCTGTAGACTGCTGGCTGTATCTGCCTCTAAGGGACCCTGAAGGCAGAGGCTCTGCCTCTGTCCCAACTCCCTTCTGCGGACAGGGATACCCAGGTACTAGGTCCTGCCCTACTTCTTGGCAGGAAGAGCCAGCTATCTGACCTATTTGGGCAGTGCAGAACTGTAGTGTATGATGCCTACCTTAGCCGTGACCATGTGCTCCCCGAAGTGGCGGGCCAAGTCTCCCTGCATCACCAGCTGCAGTTGCTCCTTGGACAACAGGGGTAGGGCTGTGCCCAGCAAGCGGAAACACAGGAAGCTGAGGGGGTGTGGGAGAGCCTGGTCAAAGCCCTATCCCCACTGGGTGGAAGCTCAGACAAAGAGGTTCCACCTAGACAGGGGTAGGGATGGCAAGGGGGCAGCTGCTATGGGCACCTGGTTGGCCAGGATGGCTTTGTCAGGAGCCCCTGTTCCACAACCTCCTTCCAGAACCACAGGAACTTGTCCTCCTTAAGTGCCAGGCGGAGCAGGTCCAGGGCCACATTGGGCAGCTTGTTCTCCTTCTTCACAGAGGGGGCTGCCGACTTCAGCACATTCACCAGTCTGTGGAGGAGGCAAGAAGGGACTCAGGGAACACTGCCTAGCAGACTGGGGTACAGGGACACCCCCAGGAGAACCCATCACCCACTTCTCTCACACCTGGGAATATTCTCATCCGTGAACAGGTCAACAGGTCCCATCAATGACTCAAGCTTTGCCGGTACCTTCTGGGAGGCCAAGAGGAAGAGCTCCAAGTGCTTAGGGGAGCTGAGAACTACATTCAAATCAGCCTTGAGAATCTTTGGCAGGATCTCCTCGAACATGGCCTCTGGGACCTAGCAATGGGGATACAGGTTATGGGAAGGGGGTTCCCTCCAAATATCCTTAATCTACCTCTGTGGGGCGAGCCCTCTAGGCTCTGTGCCAATCAGGTGGGACAGTCACAGTCCATCTTGCCAGGCACCAGAACCACCAGCATGGATTTATTTAGCCTCAAGCTCCAGGGAAGCTGGTTTTTAACAAGCATCTCACTGATGCTGACCTGCCTGGGGCTGCCCTTTTAATTAGTATTTTTTGATTTCTTAGAGGACAAGGCCATTTCTTCTTTCTTTTTTTGAGACAGGGTCTCGCTCTGTAATTCAGGCTGGCCTTGAACTCATTATGTACCCTAGGCTGGCCTTGAATTCTTGGCAATCCTCCTGTCTTGGTCTCCCAAGTGCTGGGATTATAGCCATGATGTACCATGCCCAGCAATAAGCCCATTTCTTACACAAGGACTCCTAAGTGGAATTCTGGAATTTTAATTCAGGTCCTTTTGGCTTTGAGGCCAAGACTGAGACTGTGTACATGCCAGCCCCTGCACTTTTCTTTAGTGGCAAAGTTAAGATACAAGCCTACCTCAGTTTCCCAAGTAGAGCAGTGGAAGCTCACAAAGGGCCAGCCTTGATCAAAATAAAAATGGCAAGCATGTTTAATACACTTGCCGTGTGCCAGACACTGTCCTAGACCTAAACTCCCCAATAGAGAAGCTATCAGCTAGGGCTAGGAGTACTTGAAATATGTCTAATCTGAATGAAGATATATTGTAAGAACAAAATATGCACTGTATTTCTGATTTAATATGACCAAAGGAATGCAAACAATCTTAACAATTATTTACACTAATTCCATGTTTAAGATATTTTAGACACACTATATTAAAATGTTATCAAACTACACCTTTTCAATGCAGTTACTGAAAAATTTCCAATTATAACCCTTTAAGATTCTATGGAATGCTGGGCCTGCCTGGCAAGCACAAGGTCCTGAGTTTGATCCCCAGCACCAAAAAATAAAGCTTCTGTGGTGCCACATCAAGTCTTCCCGTACCTCAGAAAGGATGTCCACCAGGGCCTGCATGGGCTGCCCCTGTAAGTGGTTGTGGTGGTGGCTCAGGACTTGCAGCAGCTTCACTGACTTCATCAGGGCCTTCTGGTCCTGGTACCCACGGAGAGCAGAAGGTATGAGCAGAGCATGCTACTGCCCCTCACCCCGCCATTCCTAAGCCAGTCCAAGTGCTCCCTGCACCCCTAGAGCTCTTACCTTCACTAGTCGGCCAGATTGAAACAGGGCTAGCACCCCAAACAGGTTTGCAAAGAGAGCAGGTCTTATCATTGCCTAGAAAAAGATTCCAGGCACAGTAAGAAGGATCCAAGCATCCCCCGCCTCCACCCCTGGAGCTGATATTCCTGGGGCCATGCTCACCTTCTTCACTGTATGCAGCTCATACTTTTCTTGTACCTGCTCCAGGATGCTGCACAAGGGGATGTCTTCGAAAGACTGTAACAACTGCCACGAGCAGTGGCAAGAGGAAGAGAGGGGTTTCGGGTGGTGGCCCAGCTACATTATCAGACCTTAAAACCGCCCCCCCCCCCATATTGTAGATTGACCCCTGGGAGTGCTGAGCTACAGCCCCAGCCCTTGCTATTTTTATTTTGAGACAAGACTTGCTAAGTTGCTCAGCTTGGGTTCAAACTTGCAATCATCTTAACTCAACCTCCAGAGTAGTTGGGATTACTGGTGTGTATCACTATGGGTGGCTTTAACCACGCCTCTCCCTTCAGTATTTCCTAGGAAGCCTTGAGTCCTTACTCCCACCCAAAGGATGCCTGTGGAGCCACTCACAATCCTCTGAGCAGCACTGAGGATGGGATACTACTGCTGAAATGGAATGGAATCTTGTTTCCCTACCCCACCCCCACCAGAGCTTTATGGCAGTTTTTTGGTTTTGTTTTGTTTTTGGTACCTGTGATTGAGCTCAGGACCTTGTGCTTTCGAGGCAGGCTGTGGAACCGCTGAGCTAAATCTCCAGCCCTCCCACTAGGGATTTAGAAGTTACCTCCCATGCCTGCTACAGTGCACGCGTGTGATCCCCAGACAATCCACCCTATTCTCACAGCCTGAGCTCCCTTTAGGTCAGTGATGGCCAACCTTTTAGAGACCAGTGCCCAAACTGCACCCCAAAGCCCACTTATTTATCACAGAGTGCCAACACTGCCCCTATGTGTGTTTCTGACGCCTGTTGGGGGGATGCTGGGGCGACCTGGCTTGCCTGCCAACAGACAGGGCTCTGCATGCCCGCTGCAGCACTAGTGCCATAGGTTCACCATCGTTGCTCTAGGTTGATCCTAAAGGTCTAAGGCTGCACAAGTTCCTCAGAGCACCATCGAAAAAGAAAACTTGCTCAAATTCTCACTCCAACTGCCTGGACTTCTTTGTAGACAGGCCTTGTCCACGCACTTCCTCACACTACAGCCACGCGAGGGTGCCTCCCATCAGCTCAGTCTTCTCCCTCCGGCTGGCTCTCCCTTGCGGCCGAGACACCAACCCGCCTCCCACTCTACCACTCTGCCCAGCACCGTCTTACCTGTGCCAGAGCCACACTGTAACAGGGGCGTGCGGCTTCTCGCCCCACTCCCAGCCCAGTGATGAGACGTTTCAGGGCATACTTCATCTCGGATCCCTGCGGAATCAAGAGAAAGCCTTGTGTTAGACAGTAACAAGAGGGCCCGCCCTCGCCCTCCTGGGCATCCAGAGTCGCGACCGTGCGGCCCTGTCCCAAGTCCTGGGGCCCGCCTCCGCTTCTCGGTAGGGACCTCGGCGGCGCGCGGCGCCCGGCCCCAGGCCCCAACACCGTGCCTCCTCCGGCCTTGCGCGCAGGTACGTCAAGAGCTTCTCAGTGGCCTCCAGCCGCGTCTGCTGCTGTGGCTTCGCAATGTCCCAGAAGAAGTCCAAGAACTCGCGGCTGTGCTCCAGCAGGCCATGGCGATCGGCAGACGTCGCCCCTCCGGGAGGCGCAGGCTCCGCAACTTCAGAACCCTTCTTCACCGCCATGCTGTGCGAAACACGTGGGCTCGGAAGACAGCCACTTCCAGGTCAGGCCGCGGCGCGTGCGCAAAGGGTTCGTCCTCTGGGGGCGGGGCGGGGCTCGTCTGGGGGTGGAGCCATCGAAAAGCCCGCACTTCCGCCTTTAATGGTTAGAAATCCTGGTAGGGGCGGCAGGAGTTCCCAGTGATTTAGAATACATCCTTGTACCTCACCCAAGGCTTTCCTCACTGCCTGCCTCGGAAAACAAATCCAGATGAAGGCAGTTGATCTATCTCGTCCCAGAGTGGCCCCTAAGCTCCCAACTGTGAGGCCTTCGACAACTAGCAGCAATTATTGAGCTCCTAGTCCTGGGAACTGTGCTGAGCCAGGCGGCCAGAACAAAGGCATTGCTTACATGGAGTTCTTTTCTAGTGGGAGGAGATGGTTGATGAACAAGTAGCCAAATACATTTACAAAATAATAATTATGAAGAAAATAAAGAATGCAGGGGTCAAAGGGAACATTTTAAATTTTGAAACACGTGAACACATCACGTGCTAAAAACCTTACTACTGTAATTAAAAAGAAACTTCAATACAAGGTCTATCCCCAGTACCAAAAAAACCCCCCAAAAAACAAAAACAGAAACTTCAATAAAGTTCTGCGATACTGATTTGATTTGGGTGTTTCTTTTCCTTTTTTTGAGACAGGCTCTTGCTGTGTAGTTCAGGCTGGCCTTGACCTCACAGGGATCCTCCTGCCCCAGCCTCTGAAGTGCTGGGATTACAGGGCTGAGTCACCATGCCCAGCCTTCGATACTGATTTGAGGGGATGGTAACCTTGATGAAGAGATGACAGGTGAGCTGAGAGCTGAGTGACAAGAAGGACTCATCCTCCCCTAGAGCAAAGATCTAAGATTGAAAGGGGATGGAAGCCCAGGCTGAGGATATTGCAGCTGAGCTGTCGAGGAGAGCGGGAGAAGCAAGCCTTGGTGGTACCCCGGGTCAGGATTAGGAGTCTGGATTTCATTCTGAGTGTGAAGAGAGGTCATCCTCCCTGAGGGTTTCAGTTCAGATTTACATTTAAAAAAGGTTCTCTGGCTGCTGTGTAAGGGATGGATCGATGCTTGTAAGGGTAAGAGCAGGAAGAGTAAGTCCAAGACCGTGGTAGATGAGAACAGGTCAGACTTGGACTAATTTGGAGCTGGTGAGGTTTGGCTCTTGAGGGAGAGGAATAGAGAAGGATACCAAGTTTGGGACCAAAATAACTGGGTGGACTGTGGTACCATTACTGAGCTGGAGAATTGTCTCTGAGGGAGAGGTGGAGATGGTGGCATCCAAGTTCAATTAAATCAGTGTGGCCTTTTCTAGTGGGGCAGGGGGTGCTACTGGTACCCCTGCTTCTTGGCTTCAGAAGCTGTTTTCTAGAGGGTTGTGTCTAAAAAGACCCCAGCCTAGCGTTGTGGTGTACACTTGTAATCCCAGCTACTCAGGAGTCTGAACATAGGAAGATGTAAAGTTCAAGGCCAGTCTGGGCAATTTAAACAAGATTCTGTTTTGATACAAAAAATAAAAGGGCTGGGTATGTAGCTCAGTGATAGAGCTCTAGCCTGTGGGAGGCCTGGGTCATCCCCCCCACTACCCCTCCCCATCGCCCCACCATTTACACACCCAGCTTCAGCCCCTTTGCATCCAGGCCCTTGGGGTACCTCCTGCTCACAGTTCCAACATCCCCTCTGCTCTAAGATTTACGTGGCACATGTGGCACCACAGGAGCAGAAGGTGAACAGGTCAGGGGGAAGCTGGAAGACACTAAGCCCAGACTCCGCCTTTCTCTGGGTGTTGGTCACCTGTGCTACCCTTAGGAGGTGCCCTGACATCAAGGGCCTCAAAGCCTGATGGAAAATTAACCAAAAAGCAGGAATGGCACTTGGCATCCAGGAAACTTGCTTTTTATTTGTTTCCAGTTGAGGGAGATTGGCAAAGAATGGCCTAGAAAGGAAGATGGAGATGCCAGCAGTAACCTGAGCCCTGCCTGCTATGCCCCTTAGAGCGTTCTTCCACCAATCTTCCTGGAGGTGATCTGACTTCAGGGCTAGCCCCAGGCCCTGTTGCTCTTTATTATCTTCAAGTTCCTTAGCAGATAAAAGAGCCAGAAATCCCATCAGGTGGGGATGCTGTCAGGAATGACTGAGCTAGCCCTGGATGCTAGAACTTCAACCCAGGTCTTCAGTCCAGCCCTTGTTCCTGCAAAGATGGGAAACTGACTCGGCCAGAGGCTATGGCTGGGCCAGCCACGAGTACATAGCAGTTGTGCACTCTTTTTACACTCTGTTGCTGCTGGTTCTGCTCTGGCTCCTCAGGCTTGAGACAACTCTGATAGTGCTAGACCCCTGCCCTGCCATCAGAACCCCTGGAAGGGGCAACAGCCACTGGGGACACTGGAGACATGGGCATGTTCTGCATGGGCTGCTACTTGGAGTAGGGTCCCTTGGTCACAAATGCTGGGTCTCTCTGTTGGTCCTTGTTGGCCCTGGTGCTGATGCTGGGTCTGTGTTTGGGGCCCTGCCAGATGGCTGAGCAGGGCATGAGTCATGGCTCTGGCCACTGTGGGGGTCCCCGAAGCCACCAGTCCTAACACATCAGCCTCTGGGTCATCCAGGCTGCCATGGAGAATGAGGGGGCAGGCCCAGGGACTAGTTGCAGACCCGGCCACCAGGTTGCTGAGCAGAACTCCAGTGCTTGGGGACAGGTGTCCAGAGCCAAAGGAGCTGTTGAGCGAGGAGGTGAGGAGGAGCACAGAGCCGCTGCTGTCCACGGTGGCCAGGATGCTGCTCACAGGGGTCCCTGTAGTTTGTGGGAGCAGTGGGCAGGGGCTGGGGCTGAGTTCCCTGGAGTGTGGGGCTGCCTTTAGCAGAGACAGCAGCTCTGGGCCAGCCGAAGGTGCTGGCGTGGTGAACAGGACGCCTTCAGGCATGGAAAGCTGCAGTGCTGGCTCCAAGGTGGGTGTGGGCCCAGCAGGCTTCTCCAGCCCCAGGTCTGTGGCCAGCAGACTCAGTAGGGGATCCCCAACAAGGTCTGGGGTGGGGGCAAGAGCTGCCTTTCGTAGCACAGCTGCTAGTTTTGGGTTGGTGGCTCGGGCCCCGAGGCCGAGGGGTGTCCCATCATCATGGCAGAGCAATGGACAGAGGCCCTTTGTGCCCTGGGCTGCCAGAGCGCTTGCCAGGGATTCGTCCACCACAAAGCCCTCTTGAGCCAGCATGGCGGGATCCATGAGGAGATGTGGCCAGGGCAGGTGGCCAAAGCGGGCATGAAGCAAGTACAGGGCAGGCAGAGCAGTGGGCAACCCCAGGCCAGGAGCCAGGGACCAGGCTGGTCCTGGGGTCAGGGCAGTTGCGTTTCCTGAGGAGCTGTTATGGAAGAGGCCCCAGAACATGGCACCTGGAAGGAGAAAACACAGAAAGGTCAGGAGTACTGGCCAGGACTGGGGCCAGCCCCACTCAGTAGCCCAGGAGAAAGGTCACTGAAGAGCTTAAAATTAAGATCATTATTATTATTATTTTTGAGACAGGATCATGCTATGCAGTCCATGCTGGCTTTGAACTCACTGTCTAGCTCAGGCTGGCTTTGAACTCCACAGTAATCCTCCTCCCTTAGCCTTGCCCTAGTGCTGGGATTACGGGTGTGCACCTCCACACCTGACTAAGCAGGGGATCAGACCTGCAGGCAAGATTGCACAGACCTAGGCTCAAAGGCCATAGCCTAGGTCAGTGCCCTAATCCTATGTTCTCCTCACCAGCAAGTATTGAGGTTCAGGGCTGCTGAGTTCCAGGACCCATGTTGGGGTCATTCTCCAGGGTCATAGGTTACTGACCTAGTCCTGTGGTGTGAGGATGCACTACGACCAGGCACAAAGCAGCTGCAACTCCGGCATCCACGACATTGCCCCCAGCGACAAGTATCTGTTGGCCCAGGTGGGAGCAAGTGGCTGCAGCAAGGACGGGACTGTCACGGGGTGGGGCCTGGGGCCATGAGGCCAGGTCCCCCGCTCTCCAGAACCCACCTGCAGGGCTGATGATGGCACCATGGTGGTACACACCAGCACGATGGGAGTGTCTGTTGGCTGGAGGTGCCACGGAGCCCAAGCTTCCTGTCAAGCTGCCCCTGCCTTGGAGCTGCCTCACAGCCAGGTAGCAGCTGACCGCCAGCAGCAGCAGGGCTGCCACCAGTCGAGCCCAGGCTCCAGGAAGCCTGACAACCTTGTTCCTGCAAAGATGGGTGTCCAGAGCCAGGGCTGGGGGGCCTCCAAAAGAGCCTCAAAAGAACCCAGGGAATGTTTCCCCAAAGGGTTTGATTTTGCAAGAGTACATGCGCCAGGGAGAGAGGGCTTCCAGGCAGAGCTCAGGGCCATGGCAAAGACACAGGGTGGGAAGAAGCTGGGGAGCTGAGGGAGGATTTGTAGAGGTTGAGAGGCAGGGGCCCCTGGTCAGCAGGAAGCCCAAGGGGGCTTGGCAGGCTGAGGAGCAGGCCCAGTCAATATAGCCAGGCCCCAGCAGGTGCCACCAGCACCAGGGAGTGGGGGCTGGGAACTTGTGACAGAGCCATGGACAGGATAGGAGGTTGCTTGGTAAGAATGTCCATTCAGACACATAAGCTTCTGATTGAGTGGCTCAGCCCAGGGCCTCTTCTGTTCATCCAGAACGTCCCTGGAGCTAAGCCAACCATGGGTTGCCTGGCTCCCCTTAGGGGCTCCAGAGAGAGGGACTTGCCTGAGAAGTGGGTGCCCAGACCCCTCCCTGACTCACCCAGGGCAGTCTTGGGGCCTCCTGGAGTAGATGATCAGTGGCTCTGCAGTCTCTTCCTCTCCCTCTTCGTCGTCCTCCTCTTCCCCTGACTCCATTCTCGGCTCCCAGAGCTTCAGCTTCTGGTAGAGCACAGGCTCTGCCGCGACTTCCATGGCCCCCAGCGGCAGGCCCGGTGCTCCTCCTGCCAGCCTTCCTGATTGAAGCCCTACCCCAGCCTGATGGGAGGAAGGTGTGGAGGCCTTGGGAAAGGCTAGTGGCAGGATACA